CCACCGCTCTCGGCACACCCCTCACACGGGCCGTGGCCCCATAGAGAGCTCCACCGACGGCCAGAGTGGTTGTGACCACATGCGCCCCCGCCACCCTTTTCGGCACACCCCTCACACGCTTCGTCGCCCCATAGGGACCTCCACCGAATTCCCCAGTGGCTGTGACCACATGCGCCCCCGCCACCCATGTCGGCACACCCCTCCTACGCTTCGTGGTCCCATACAGAGCTCCACCGAAGGCCCCAGTGGTCGTGACCACATGCGTTCCCGCCACCCACTTCGGCATACCACTCACACTGGTCGTGGCCCCATATGGAGCTCTAAATGGCCTCAAGGTGGTGCCCAGTGGTGGCGTTCATATGCTTCCCGCACCCATTTCGGCACACCCCTCACACGTTTCATGTCCCCATAGGGGGGCTCCACCGAAGAGAATTCGCACCTCCGCGGCACTGGCATTTGTCTATTCCACATGATCATGTCAGACGCCCGGATAAGTTTGTTGCGTCGGATCTCTTGGAGAGTTGGGCGTCAATGGCGGGGGAGGATATCGAGGAAGCGCAGGCCCGACGCCGTCACCCCCTTATGGTGGGCTTGTTTTCCACCACCACCATAAGTTAAAGGGGGGAGGGAGGATGAGGACGAGGAGGAGGAGGAGGACGAAGAGGAGGAGGAGGAGGAGGAGGAGCAGGAGGAGGAGGAGGACCCCCTCCCCCTCAAACTTATGGTGGTGGTGGTGGTGGAAAACAGGCCCATCACTTTTGGGCGGCCCGCGGCGCGCGCGCGCGGGCACGGTCTGCCCCGCCTCGCGCCTCCTCGGCCCTCGGCTCCAGAAAGGGGCGCGCGAGGGGGGGGGCGCCCCGGCCGCCTCGCTGCCGCCTGCCCAGCCGCCCTTTCTCCACCCCTTCCCTCCCTCCTCCCCTCGCTGCTCGCACCCAGCCCCCCACCCCTCCTCCCATCAGAGGGGATGGTCCTGTTCTCCACCACCACCCCCATAAGCTGAAGGGGGAGGGGGTCCTCCTCCTCCTCCTCTTCTTCGTCCTCCTCCTCCGAGCCTGCATTCCAATGGTGCTGGCCTGGAGGGCGGCGCCGACAACTACAGTTTGCGTGCGCCCTTGGCGCAGCTGCAAGACGCCTCGCATGGCAGGCAACTTTCAGAATTGCTCATGAGTATTTCAGCTGGTGGTTCTTGGCTTGGCTCTCGCAAGCAAGAAACAGGGCTACCTGTCGACCCACAGTGCCCCCGTTGCCGAGCAGCTCCTGAGACCCCCATTCATCATCACTGGACTTGTGAGGCCAACAAGGGGCACCCTATTTTTCTTTGGAGTCCGACGAGTTCCTCATGGAAGTTCTGGCCCATCATGAACTCGAACCGTGTTTTTGGCACCGAGGTCTCATTCCCCGTAGCTGGACCCTGGTTGAGGCCCCTGTTTTCGAAGAAAGCTGGCTTACCACTGATATTCCTGGAGCTTTGGAGGCAGGTTGTCTTAGGAGCGGGACTTCACAGGACCCTATCGTGACCTGTGGGGACGCCTCGGGAGGCCCAGACAATATGGACCCACGATGTCGGCGCGTGGGTCTGGCTATTCTTGTCGTTAACCAGTTCTTTCCGTTCCTCTGTGAGCAGTATATTTCAGGTCCGTTTCCCGGCAGATCTCAGACAGTACCCGAGGGGAGTTATTGACTCTTTTGGTATCGCTGAGATATACTGACGGGCATCTTGTTTTCGTTCCAGACAACGGAGAAGTAATGCGAGGTTAATAGCAACATCGTTGGGAGTCCCCGAGTGGGGAACTGGCAGATCTTGATTTGAGACCTTTTTAGGCATCGCGCTCATGAGAAAATCGCTGTCCTCCAGATTTCGTCGCACCTCTCACCCCAGCGTGTTGCCGAGCGAAGGTACCCAAGATGGATGATTGCAGGTAACATGTATGCTGACGTGCTTGCAGGTCTGGCAGCGGAGCAGCACAGGCTACCCGAACGCACCCGTTTTCGTGTATTGCAGGTCGATCGCAAGGCTGCTTTGGTTCGGAAGCGTCAGATCAGATCTACTCTCGAGGCCATCAATTGCGAGCCTGCTTTGGGACTGATTGAACGTATCAGGTCCGCTGCCGCCGCCGCCGCCGCCGATCCTGTTCCCCCTCCTCCTGCTCCCCCTCCCCCCCCCATCCCCGCTCCGCCGCCGTCGCCCTCTTCCGCTCGGAGCATGCAGTGACCGACGACGGCCTCAAGTGCACGAGGTGACGGAACTCGTGCATCACGGCGGGACGCGCGCGGTGGCATAGCACGGCATGCCACCCCTCCTGCCCTCTGCAGCCTCCCGCGGGGGTACAGATACATCTGGCGGGAGGGTGGGTGCACGAGAGTCATTCTATGTGCTATAATGAAGTTTCTAAGGTGGGGATTTGCCTATCTTGTGGATGTTTCTTCTTTCGAATACCCCGAAAATGGAATACACTCGATTTCCGATCCTGGCGGGGCAGCCGTTAATTCCCCCACTCGGCTCTTGCAGCGTGTCGCTGTGACGGTCGTTTTTTGGTCCGCTTGACCGCTGACAAGTCGGAGTCCTTTTGGGCTCCCATGATTCGGGGCGCCGGGCCCATCCGCAACTCTTTGAGCATGGCGGCCGCGGCTGCGTCGGTGGATCTCGCTTTGAACGTAGAAGCCTTGTTGTGCCCAGACGAGGTCTCCACCAGCCCGGCGGCTAGCGATGCGCCTGCCGGCGCAGGCGGTGAGGCATGCAGCCCAGCGCCGGCCGTTGGCGGATTGATCGATCTCCATTCGGAACCCGGGCAAGGGCTGCTAAATCCATGGTTGCTGAAACCGACCTCCGGGAAGTTGTCGTCGTCCTTCCGGGAAGAAGCCCTTTGACTGTTTCGCGTGCCGCGCCTCATCCCGGGAAGATGTTTATTCCTTCCGGGAGAGCCGTTTTAGATACCGCGGTTTTAGCAGCCTTCGCCCAGTTTCTGATCCACGCGGAAGAACCCAGCGAGTTGGAGGAATGATCAGGGCGATTCGGGCCTCTCTGACAGCGACGGGGGGCGACGGCGATCTCGCGGCTCCGTTTGCCAGCCTGGGCATCTTGGCGGCAGGGGCTGCTGGCGCGGTTGAGCCAGCCCCTGTTTCCACGAGGTGACCTTGGCGACTTGGAGATTGCTTTGGCCGCCCATGCCAAGCCGCAGCACTCCGGGCCGCAGCTGAAGAAGGCGAAGGGCTGAGGCCACGTCAAAGCACAAACGGCTTCACTGCGAAGTCGGCACGTAATGTCGTTCCGTCCCGCCCTCGAGGGCTCTGAAGTTCACTCTGCGGAAGCAGCCTGTGTGTGTGCTCCTGACAAAACAATAACCGTGTGCGAAAAAACGCCGCCGCCCATGACCACAGAGGCGCGAGTCGCAATGGCAGTGTTTTTGGCAAGCTATGTTTGCGCAGTGCGTGGCCCGAGTTTCTTCTTGGGTGAGGGAGTGGGAAGTGCCCGGTCCCGAGTTTTCAAAATGAGAGGAGTGGCCAAAACAGTTGTCTTAAACATTGTGTGTTGGGATGGTGTGGGGCGTTTCGTGGTGTGTTCGGGGTTGTTTCGTGGCCATGCGGGCCGATATTGAAGATTTTTTTGGTCATCGGGAAGCTTCGGGACCCCTTCCAACGCTTATGGTTTTGGGATTTGGGCGAATGCGGTGAGAAGCTTCACGTTCCGTGGTTGAACTTGGAGCCTATTGGGAGAAAGTTGGAAACCATCTCCATATTTGGTTGCGTGGGGCTATCTTGGGTCGTCCTGGACGCCGTGACCGATCAGGCCCGCCCGCCCCCCCCCCCCCGTTCCCGGGGGTGGAGGCGGGGCGAGGAGGGGGTGCGGCAGAGGGAACACAACGATTGGTTGAACCAGCTACACGCAGAGGGCTGCTGAAATACTTGACAAAGCAGCGGGCGCAGACAATTCGTCTTCGCGCCGCAGGGACGCCGCTGTAACGCCAGTGCTCCTGGACGCAAGGCGTCATGTTCCAGATTTCGAGTAGTCTGGTCTCATGGGGACGCACGAGTCGCAGTTTCGAGAAATGTCAGCGTCATCCCCTCCCTCCATTGTCCCCCACCTCCTCCTCATACTCCTCTTCCTGCCGTTTGTTTTCCTCTGGGGCACGTCGTCGTCTCGCGGTACAGGACCCCCCAGACATTATCTGGGGAGCTCTCGATGGGCTGGCATGTCGTCTTTGAGGTCTCTCGCGTTTGAGGTCTCTCCGCGCAGGGATGCTTTACTGCTCTGTCATACGAAATGAAAGCATGTCCCCACACGAATCCACCTGGGGTCCTGTTGCCGTGGTGCGTTCAGTTTACGTCCCCAGGCTTTCGAAACATGGGTTTTTGGGGTCAGCAACATGCGAAGAGACAATGCCATTATTTGTTTCTGCTTCTCTTCATCCTCATCCGCATCTCCTCCTCCTCCGCCCGTTTTTCCTCTCCTCCTCCTCCTCCTCGTTTTCGTCCTCGCCCTCCTTGTCCCCCCTTCCTCCTCCTCTTCCTCCTCCTCCTCCTCCTTCTCCTCCTCGTCGTCCTCGTCCTCCTCCTCCTCTTCCTGTTCCCCCTCCTCCTCCTCCTCCTCCTTTTTCCCCCTCCTCCTCCTCCTCCTCCTCCTCCTCCTCCTCCTCCTCCTCCTCCTCCTGTGTAACCGGCGTGCCCGCCGGTGACGCCGCGGAGCAGATGATGGTTCCGCGGCGGCGTCGCCGCCATCCCGCTTTCGGGCCCCAGGAGCCTCCGAGCAAGATCGTCGGGCCCCGAGGAGTTGGTTTGGGTGTTTTTGCATAGCCTCGGGGGTCGGGGCCCTCCGTCCCTCCCCCCCTCCCCCTCCCTCTCCCCCTCTCCGCCTCCCTCCCTCCCTCTCCCCGTTGTTCCCCTCCCTCCCCCCTCTTCGCTTCCCCCCCCCCTCCCTCTCTCCCCCTTCCTCCCCTCCCCCCCGCCCCCCCTCCCCCCCTCCCCCCTTCCCCCTTCCCCCTTCCCACGTCCATCCTCCCCCCCCCTTCCCTCTCCCCCCTTTTTTCCTCCCCCCTCCCGCCCTCCCCATATGGCGCCCCCTCCGGGCGACGCCGCGGCGGCCGTGCCGCGGCGGCGCTCGGGCAGTGCGTGGAGGAGGCCCTGGCGAAGGCCCCCCCCGCGGGGGGGGTGCGGCGGCGGGGCCCGCCCGCCCGCGCGCGGCGGCCTCGCGCCGCTGCGGCGCCGCATCGGCGAGGCCTCTCGTGGCGTCTCGACGGCGACGACGTCGTCGTCGAGGACGAGGACGATGAGGACGAGGACAAGGACGAGGACGACGACGACGACGACGAGGACGACGACGACGACGATGACGACGGTGGTGGCGACGACGACGACGACGGTGGCGGCGACGACGACGACGACGACGACGACGGTGGCGGCGACGACGACGACGACCACGACGACGACGACGGCGGCGGCGGCGGCGACGACGACGAGGAAGAGGACGAGGACGAGGACGAGGACGAGGAGGAGGACGACGACGACGATGACGACATCGATTCCGGAGAATCGATGGTTGGTGGGGGTGGGGTTCGGGTGTCGCCGCGAAGCCTCGACGTTGGGGGCGTTGTTTGTGTCCGGCCTCCATACCTTTCGCTGTTGATTCACCCCAAACGTGCTAAACACTAACGTCGGGAAGGCGGCATTGTGAGACCTTAGGAAGCATGAAAGCGTACTTACAGTGCCCTGCATCCTTAGGTCATCTTCCGTCCATCCTTAACCACTTTCGATGGCCAGCCCTGCTCGAAGAGCCTCGGGATGGGCGTCCAAGGCCCTTGCATCCTTACCGCGCATCCTTATTAAACGGACGGAACTCTGGCATGAGGGCTATGAGCCGATCTTGGACTTGAACGCGGAACAAAAATTGTCCCACAAGACAAAGAGAGCGTGCCGATCTTGACAACAGGGGGCAAAACACGCTCCCCAGCGTTTTGAAGATCATCAAAGGCCTCGGCGCCGCCAGGCAAGGTTGTAGACGGCTTTCTAAGGCTCGAGGTGGCCCGATTCGACGCACGTTCCGTTTCGATCCGATTTCCCGATTCGATGTTGATTGATCACGCCAGAGTTCTGAAGGATCGAGTTGTCCCACCAGCCCCAGTATTATCATTCCGCTTCTGCCTCTGGGCGCCGTTTCTGCGCCATTCGGGGCAGTGAAACACACATCCGGGACGAAGAAGTGTTCTTGGGAAAGAGGTCGTAAGACGGGGCTAGGACGAGGACACATCCGCTCCAAGTCGTTCCAGAACGCTCTCAGAGCGTTCCTGAACGCTCTGAGAGGGCCGCTTTGCGCGAGACATCCTCCAGAGCTGCCAGATCTCAGAGAGTTTCGATTTCTCTTCACCCTATTTTATCGACGTCCTGGCTTCCTCATAGGTCGTGGCCCTGGATTGAACAGGTCACATAGTCGGATGTGTGAGAAGTTGTGTATGGTTTTGTTGGGGATTTTTTTCTGGAGGGTCCCTCGTGGGCTCCGCTGGGCGTAGAAGCTCGAGCAGCTGGTCAAAACGGTAGTTTCGAGCACCAAGAAAGTACCGAAACTTGACGGTTTTCACGTGTCGGGCCCTGGGAGGCGATACTCGGTCGACATTGTTTCAATACTTTTCTGGGTACTTGAAGTTATTGAATCGCTTCGCTCATTCCGCCGGCCCGTGATATGGCATCGCTGGTTTTTGTCTGTGTGTTCGTTGCCCATGTTGCGCTCTTGGGGGCGGGTGTCGTTCGGACGCGTTGCGTGGGGAGTTTTGATGGTGAAGCAGTTCCCTGGGGGTCGTCTCTCGATGGGCGAAATAGAGTCGTCGTCAAGATGCTTCTTTGGGGGGCCTCTTGGGGTCTGTTGAGAGGCCGTTCGGGGGCGCCTGGGAGACATGTTTGAAGCCTTCTGGGGCTTCTTTTGGGCCTCCTGGGAGTCTCCTGGGGCCTCTTGGCGACATCTTGGGGCCTCTTGGAGGCCTCTTGGGGCCTCTTTGGGACCTCCTGGGCGCCTTCTGGGACGGAGGGCTCCATTTTTGAGTTCTCGGTATCCCTCCTGAGTCCCTCTTGGGCCCGTCTTGGGGCCTCTTGGTCCGTCTTGGGCGGCACTTGGGCCGTCTTGAGGGCTCTCTTGGGTCGTTTCGGCGCCGTCTTGGGAGCTTCGTGGGCCGTCTTGGAGCGGTCTTGGGGGCCTCTTGGGCCGTCTTGGAGCGTCCGGAAGCCGAAAAAGCCAGAACACAAAAAACATCGAAAAAACAAATGAAAATCAACGATTTTGGCCTCTTGGGGCTCTCTTCGGAGGCCTCTTGGAAGGCTCTTGGGGCGTCTTGGAGGCCTCTTGGGCTGTCTTGGGGGCCTTTTGGGCCGTCTTGGGGTCATCTTCGGCGTCTTCGAGCGCTCTTTGGGCGTCTCGGGGGCCTCTTGGGCAGTCTTGGGGGCCTCTTGGGGCACTCTGAGCGCGCTCTGGGGAGCCTGAGAGGCCGCACCCAGAAGGAAAACCATCTCTGAGTAGACTTGGTCGGGCGGCGGTCGGGCGGCGGTCGGGCGGCGGTCGGGCGGCGACCGGGCGTTGGTCGGGGTACTTTTCGCCGGGGGACCCCCAGGGGCCGCCCCGCGCGCGCGAACTAGAAATACTGTTAATACTGTTAACCAGTTACCGGAGATCTTAGCACGCCCTGGCCCGTTGGGCCGGCGAATTTCTGGGATGTGGCCATTGTGCGATGGGAGCAACATAAGCTTGGAAAGAGGTTCTGGGATCGACCTTGAGCGAGCACCGTTCCTCCCACAGCACGGCGGCGCCGCCGACGCGAGTGCTCTCGAGGTCCCGCACACTCTGGGGAGCCGACTCGGGATCTGGGGTTCTAGGAGGGATTACCAAGGGCGCGACACGCCGTCGAGGAGTTGTTGTTGGTGGTGGTGGTGGTGGTGGAGGAGAGGAGGAGGCGGAGGCGGAGGCGGAGGAGGAGGAGGAGAGGAGGAAGAGGAGGAGGAGGAGGAGGGAGGAGGAGAGGAGGAGGAGGAGGAGGAGAGGAGGGGAGGAGGAGGAAGGGAGGAGGAGGAGGAGGAGGAGGAGAGGGGAGGAGGAGGAGGAGGAGGAGGAGGAGGAGGAGGAGGAGGAGGAGGAGGAGGAGGAAGGGGAGGAGGAGGAGGACGGAGGAGGAGGAGAAGGAGGAGAAGGAGGAGGAGAAGGAGGAGGAGGAGGAGGAGGAAGAGGAAGAGGACATCAGGAGGAGGAGCAGGAGCAGGAGTAGGAGGAGCAGGTACTCACTCGAACGATTTGGTCGAGGGCCTGCGTCGACGAGCAGACGACGGCATTATCAGAGCCTCGGGGGGTCTGCACGGAGTTCGTGGAGCTGGCGCTGGGTCCCCCTGGCGGCGCCTCGGGTGCCGGGCCTGGCTCGGGGCGCCAGGGGAGGGGTCCAGCGCGGATCCTGGAGGTCTGTGCTGTTTTCCGAAGGCTTGTGTTTATGTCGGCTCGTCTTTTCTTGTTACGAGATCGTTTTCGTATTCATTGCTTTGCCCGTCGGCGCGGGCCCTCGCACCCCCTCCCCCCGCTCCCATTGGAGTAGGCCTTGGCCGTCTCTGGCGCCTCTTTCAAGCAGGCGGGTTCTCCCCCGTAGGACGCGCTGTTGCTAACAGACGCATTGAGCAGAGGTCCGGATGGAGCCAGAGGAGACCTCCCCTACCCCCCCTTTTCCGCCCAATGTTGACACGCCGAGTAAGAAAGCGTTCACTATTATGACCTCAAGATGTCATGCAGGGTTTATCTGGTCGCGCTGTGTCGGACACCAGAGCTGTGCGCCATCACAGCAGGAGCCTGCCATGCCGTCCTCAGTCCTCTTCTCGGCCTCGTCCACGAGGTGCGGCGAGTTTTCTCGATTGTTCTTTTTTTCTAGGGGAGGAAGGAGAAGTCGTTCATCAGCATTCGAGGCTTCAAGGAGTAGGAGCATGAGGAGGACGAGGGATGGAGGAGGAACCGCTGGAAAGGAGCAGGGAGGAGCACCAGGCGGAGCCAGGAGTCAGGAGGAGCAGCCCCGGGCCGCCCCTGCGGGCGCGCCTTCGCGTCTGCCGGGTGTTGTCAGACGTGGCCCTGGCCCAGGGCGACCCCAGCCGCCCCAAGGAGGCGCAGATGGCTTCTAATCAGAGCCCCGACTCATCAGGGGTAACTCGGGTCAGGGCTAACCCGGGTTCGTTTTTCGGGAACCCAAGCCCGAGTTACCCCGGACCCGAGTTACCCCGGATAACTCGGGCGTCCAATCTAAGGAGCCCTCACGAGGCCCAGAGGGCCCCGGGCGCCCCACAGTGGCGCGCCGAGCTGGGAGCATTCGTGGCCAGGGCCAGGTCTGGCCGCATCCGAGCCTGGACGCGCTACTGGTCTCCGCTGCCACCCACCAGGCCACCCGAACCCAGCCCGAAGGCCCCCCGTGTGCCCTTCGATCCCAGGGGGGGGGGCGTCGGAGGGCAGTGACGCAACACGTGTGGCACCCGAACCCCCTCGCCCCGACAGTTGGGTACGTATTCGGGTTGGGTTGGGGTGGTCTGGTAGGTAGGTAGGTAGGTAGGTAGATAGGTGGGTAGGTAGTGAGGCAGGTAGGGAGGAGGAGGAGGAGGAGGAGGAGGACCTCCTGCCTGACACCTCCTCCTTCGGCGCCTCCTTCGGCTAGGGAGCACTTCCTTCTTTTGCGTGGGACCAGCGTCGGCTTGCTGGCCGTCGCGCCTTGGCGGCAACGATGCTGTGCCTCCACAGCCACGAGCTGTCCAGACGGCCTGGAACAACCAGGCATGACGTGACGCCGTCGCGTTGCCGTGTCCTCCTCCTCGAGGGCAAGGTCGCGTCGGGGGGCGGCACAACGGCGATGTGCAGCCCGCGCCGTGAGCTTCAAGCTGGGCCGCCGGGGCCGCCGTTGCCGAACAGCAATGCGCAATTCAAACGGTCGCCCCTGGACCGTTTGAAAATGCTCAAACGGTCGCCCCTGGACCGTTTGAAAAAGCCCGCGCCGTGAGTGCCCGCCCCATGGTGGGCTGCGTGCCCATACGGGTGCGGGCCTGGCCAGTGCTGCTCTGTCAGTGGGCAGCTCGGCCAATCTCAATCGCAATTTTCTGCGGATTTTGGAGGGAACCATATCAGAAGCCTCGAGCAGTCTCAGATTGATTCCTCATGTTTTTAATTATCACGAATGTGTCACTGGAGATTGTTGGCTTCCCAGAGCTAGTCAGTCAGTCCTCCTCCTCCTCCTCCTCCTCCTCCTCCTCCTCCTCCTCCTCCTCCCCTTCTCCATCACAACCACACCAAGGGCGGTGCCACTTCCACTCGTCGTCTTCCTCCTTGGCCTATACCCGCGGGGGGGTGGGGGCCTTCAGTACCGCTCAGCGATGCGCCGTTGCCGAACCTCGCAGGGTGGGCAGCTTCGTCCTCGAGGGCCTGCAGCTAGCGCTAGGGTTATGAACAGCCCTGATCATGAAGGGGGCATCCCAGATTTCGTAAAAAAAAGGAGGGTGTCACAACCCTCCCAGGGCACAAATTGTAGACCCCCCACCCGAAGAGCCACGAAAGGGCGGCCTTTTGCCCCGACCCAGTGGAGTCCCCTCAGACAGGTCAACGGAGCACCTTCAGGTGTTTCGTTTTGGGGGCTTTTCACCTTGTTGTTCTTCGACTGGGGTACCTTAGTGTGTTCGTATGCCTTCTGCGGAGCGCTTGTGGTCTTGGTCCACGCTCTTATGACCATGTTTCGACAGTATCCCAAATGGCTGTCCTCAATCTGGCAAAACTCCTCGTTGGCCTCGCCGGAGCTCCGCCGCTGCTCTCCTGATCATCCTGCTCGTCGTCGACGTCTTTCTCCCCCGCATCATCCCCCATGCTGACGCGCCTCTCGCCTGTTTGCTATTGCTGCTGGTTGCCGTCGTCCCGTCATGGTGCCCTGCCCCTTGGGCCCAGCAGGGCACGAGGGTGCAAACCTCACTTGTCGGGCTGATGCTCCAGAGAGGCCTTGACTTGGGACGCGTCGGCCACCGCCGACTTGTCCCTTGTCGATCGCCCTGACGAGGTTGGGGGAGCCGAAACGCCCCCAGAGCCCAGCAACCTACGGGGGTGCAAGCCTGACTTATCTGGCCGATGCTCCGGGCGGGGTCTGTCCTTCGGGGAGGCTGCAGTACCACACAACGATCTGCTGTTTAACCGATTCTGCGGGGTGGGCCCCTTCTCTCTGTTCGGTCCCAGCGGGGCCCTTCAGGCCCCCGTGCTGACGCGCGCGCGCGCCTCCTCCTCGCGGGCTCCTCCTCGTGCTCATGTTTCACGTTTGACATTTTTCATGCTGCTGCTGCTCCTCCCTCGCCTCGCCGTTGCTATCCTCCCCTCCCAACAAAAAAGAGACGAATCACTCTTCCCGCGGACGCTCCCGCTCCTCCTCGTCCACCTCCTTCTCCCCCTTCCTCTTTCCCTCACTGTCCATCTTCCCCCCCCCTCCTCTTTCTTCTCGTTCCTTCTCCTCCTCCTTCATCTCTCCCTCCCCTCCTCCTGCTCCTTCCCCTCCCTCCCCTCCTTCTTTCCTCCTCCTCCTCCTCCTCCTCCTCCTCCTCCTCCTCCTCCTCCCCTCCCTACTCACCACTCGCCCAGACAAGGTGGAGGGGTCCGACAAGGACCCCGGCGAGCGCGTGAAGCTGCTGGGGCCCCTGATCGAGGCCCAGCGCGTCGCTCTCGCTGGGGCCGGCTTCGAGTCCTTCGCGGCGTACGAGGCAGCGGTGCAGGCCACCGTGCCCCCCTTTGGCCCAGGTCGAGCCGACCCATGCGAGTCGATGGCGACCTCGGCTGGCCCGATCCGATGCGGTTCGGATGTGCGGGCGATCCGATGCGGCCCGATCCCGATGCGCTTGAACGCCCGAAACGGGTACGGAAAGAATGGGTACAAGGCTCAACAGCAAATGTTGTCCCAAAGCAACGGCGGCCGCTGTTGGGCAGGCGGCCTTCTGTCTCAAATGGACACGGGCCGCGGCGACACCGACAGCGAGTCCTGTTCAGAATGAACAGGAGCTGCTGTTGGGCGTTGTACCCGTTCTTTCCGTACCCATTTCGGGCGTCCAGAATGCTGGCACGGTGGTCTTGTGCATCCTGTCGCGGTCGATCCGGTGGGGCATCGACTCCGTGCTGAGGCAGGCCGGTCCCGATGCACGTCTTCACTCGGTCCGATGTTTCTCGATCCGATGTTGACTTCAGTCGGGCACGTCATCCTAGAGGAGGGATATTCAAAAACAGTCTGGGGACGGTGTTTTAGCATTTCTTGAGCATTCTGGGTGCATGTGGGGGGTATCCTCATTTTTTTTATTTGGCCCAAAATCACCCCCCTGTAGGGGGAAAGGCCCGACCTGAATGTTGACCGATCCCGCCCTCGACCGCGTTGCACCTCCACCCGCCCGTCCGGGAGACCGGGTCGAGGATGGCCGCGCTGCGCTCGCCGTGGCCTGGGCCAGGACAGCGAGGCCCCGTCGCTGGAGGTGGCGGCGCGGGGTCGCAGAGGGCGCGAAGGTGGCTGCGCGTCACTCCTTGCGTCGGGGGCGGCAAAGAGGGGGGCGATGACTGGGGGGGGGGGGGGATTTCATGGCGGGGGCCATGATATTTCCCCAGATTTCATGGCGCCTCTTCTTATTTCATTACGTCCCTGACCCCCCCGCTGGGCCGCGCACATGCCGCAGATCATGATTTGCACCCCCCCTCTTGGACACCTCCCTCTTGGCCGCTCCCGATTGCGGGTGGCGATGCGCGAAGGTATCGAATTTCAGGAGCGAGAGACGGACGTACACGTACATGAGTCCACGCTGGTTTCGAGAGTACGCATTGTGCGAATGTTCGTATCACGCGGCGGGTCTCGCGGATCGAGGGGCCGCGTTCATGTACATAGTTGGGCGGCGCGTACGTCTTCTCTGTGGGATCCCTATAATTCCCTTCGGCCCATCCCGCCACCGTGCCCGGGTTGTGGGTATGGAGCCTATTGGACTTTCGTCGGGATCTCGTTGGAAGGCCTTTCTGGGGCCTCGTGGAGGCAGTTCGGATGCTTCTGGGGGACCTCTTTTGTGGCCTCTTGGGGCCTCGTTTGGGGCCTCCTGGGGGCTCCGTTGGGCCTTTTGGGAGCCTCCCGGGCGCATCTTGGGGCTCGTGAGCGGCTCGTGAGTGGTCGATGCAACACTCAGTGTTGCATCGACCAAGGGCCATGGGGAAGGCGGGGGCGCAGCTGCACGCGGTGGAACACCGGGTGGTGGGGGGTGCAGCCGCAGCAGGCCCGAGGGCTCGGTCCTCCTGGGAGGTCCCTCGCAGGGCTCGTTTCGACTCCCCCGATTCCGATTCGATTCGACGTCGATGGATTCCGATTCCGATTCGATTCGACTTCGATTCGATTCGACTTCGATGGATTCCGATTCCGATTCGATTCGACTTGGGCTTCCGATTTGGATTCCGGTTCCTTATGGGAGGCAGATTAGCTGCCGATCTCCGCCGGTTCGACTTTTCCCGAGTCGGCTGCCGAGTTCCGCCGATCCGATTCACGTCGATTGCCGATCCGATTTATCGATTCGATTCTGGGCTCTCCTGCCTTCGCAGGCTCTGGGACCATACATCGGTACGGTCGACATGGTACGCAGAGAATGGGTACGAAGGTCGGCAGCAGTTCTTGTCCGTTTTGAATAGGAATCGCTGCCGGCGTCGCCGCGGACAGTGTCCATTTGAGAAAAACATGCCGCCTGCCCAACAGCTGCCGCTGGTGGTGTTGGACAACATTGGTTATGTGGGGCACTGTTTTTCTCCGTACCCCGAGTTTCTTCAGAAACGTTAGGGGGGCGTCACCACCGCTGACAGCCCCACATCGACCCCCGTCGCGGGCAGCCACCGCGCGCCGAAGGCGCTCCGACCCCCGTCGCGGCTCGACGACGAGGCGAGGATTGACCCCCGTCTGGGGGGGGACATCTGGCCATGGGAAGCGAAAGGGCGAGGAAGCAAACAACATTGATCTCCCCACGGTTTTGGAAGGATGTTGTCCTCTTCGGGCCTGCTGGGGGAGCTCTTTGGCCACGTGGAGCCGTCTTGGAGCGGTCGTGGGGTTTCGTGGAGCATATTGGGAGCCATCTTGAGGCATCTTGGGATATTTTGAACTACCTTGGAGGTCATTTCCGGCTCCCAAGCGCTCTTGGAGCCATCTTAATCAGTGCCCCCAGGAGGCCCAAATGTGGCCAAAACCTTGGTAACATCAATGATGTTGGCATTCTCGCCGAGGCCCAAGAGGCGTCTTGGGTGCTTCTCGGGGGCCTCTGGGGGCCTCTTGGGGGTCTCTTGGGAGCCTCTTGGGGGCATCATGGGGGCCCCTTGAGGGCCTCTTGGGGCTTGTTGGGGCTCTCTTGGAGCGCCCTTGGGTTGGAGGACATCGATCAAACAAGAGGGGAGCCTTGCCCCCATCAAGAGGCCAACATAGGGCCACAACCGTAGTACAACCAATGATTTTGGTTTCCTCGCCGAGGCCGTTGTGGATGCTCTGACACCTCGCGACTTGCCCCGTCCAAGTCCAGGGGAGGGGGTAGGGGGAGGGGTCAAGTTACCCCCTCCCCGCCCGCAAGCCGTCTCGCTCACTCCCACCCGCCCTCCCAACACATACGTAGCACCCCAGTCTGGCCCGAACCTCAGCATATTCAGCAGTCGTCTTTGGATGGGCAGCTACTGGGGGGCAATCCGCCGCCGCCGCCGCCGCCGCCCGCCGCCGCCGCCGCCGCCGCCGCCGCCGCCGCCGCCGCCGCCCCCCCCGCTGTCTAACCGCCGCCGCAGCCGCTGCCGCCACCGCCGCCGCCGCCGCCGCCGCAGCCGCCGCCGCCGACACCGCCGCCGCCGCCGCCCGCCCCGCCGCCGCAGCCGCCGCAGCCGCCGCCGCCGCCGCCGCTGCAGCCGCCGCAGCCGCCGCCGCCGCCGCCAAGTGTACGCTGTACGGTTCTTTGACAGGATGGTGGGTGGGGGGCCGCATCGGGTTGGCTGCGCATGTTCCGAATTTGGAGGCGAAGTGTGGTTTGTGTTGTTTCTTACAAGGGATGGTGGGGAGTGTCGGCATGGACTCGGGTTGGCCCCCAGTCGCCTGGGGGAGGGGGTGTTTATAAATAGGGAACAGTGATCAAGAGTCTCCCTCCCCGCCCGCAAGCCGTCTCGCTCACTCCCACCCGACCTCCCAACACATACGTAGCACCCGAGCCGAGGCCGAACCGCAGCATATGCAGCAGTCGTCTTTGGATGGGCAGCTACTGGGGGCGAATCCGCCGCCGCCGCCGCCCCCGCTGCCGAGTCGCCGCAGCCGCCGCCGCCGCCGCCGCCGCCGATCAGCCGCCCCTGCTGCCAAATGGCCGCCGCCGCCGCCGCTGTCCGCCGCTGCCGCCGCCACCGCGTTGCCCGCCGCCGCCGCCGCAGCCCCCGTTGCCAAATCGCCGCCGCCGCCGCCGCTGCCGCCGCAGTCGCTGCCGCCGCAGTCGCTGCCGCCACCGTTGCCGCCGCCGCCGCCGCCGCCGCCGCCGGCCCTCGCCGCCGCCGCCGCCGCCGCCGCAACCGCCGCAGCCGCTGCCCCCGCCGCAGCCGCCGCAACCGCCGCCGCCAAGTGTAGCCTGTATTGTTGCTTGACAGAGATGGTGGGGGGAGGCCGCATCGGGTTCGTTGCGCATGCTCCGAATTTGGAGACAGAGTGTGTGTTTGTATGGTTTTGTACAAAAGATGGTGGGGGCAGGGTGTGTGTGTGTGTTTGTATTGTTTTTGTATAGAGGGATCGTGGGGGGGGTGGTGCATTGACCCCGGTTGGCTTCCAGTCGCCTGGGGGACGGGGTGCGTACTGATAGGGAACAGTGATGAAGACGCCTTCCCCGCCCGCAAGCCGTCTCGCTCACTCCCACCCGCCCTCCCAACACATACGCAGCACCCGAGCCTAGGCCGAGTCGCAGCATATGCAGCATTCGTCTTTGGATGGGCAGCTACTGGGGGCGAATCCGCCGCCTCCGCCGCCGCCGCCGCCGCCCCCGCTGCCGAATCGCCGCCGCCGCCGCCGCCGCCGCCGATCAGCTGCCCATGCTGCCAAATGACCGCCGCCGCAGCCGCTGCCGCCGCCGCCGCCGCCGCCGCCACCGCCGCCGCCTCCGCCACCGCCGCCGCCGCCGCCACCGCCACCGCCGCCGCAGCCGCTGCCCCCGCCGCAGCCGCCGCAGCCGCCGCCGCCAAGTGTATTGTGCATCGTTTTTGATAGGGGATGTTGGGGGGGGCCGCATCGGGTTCGCTGCGCATGCTCCGAATTTGGAGGCTGAGTGCGTTTTGTTTGGTTTTCGTAGAAGGGATGGTGGGAGGTGCCCTCATTGACTCGGGTTGGCTCCCAGTCGCCTGGGGGAGGGGGCGTACATTAGTACAGTCGGGGCGTTGACCGAAGGAACCCTAAATCAGGAACGAGGCCCCCTTTTTTCCGTGCGTGAAACTTTGATTCCCTAGCGAAAGCTTAGGAAACAACCAAGGCGGACTGCAAAACAACTAATGAACACTGAGCCCCTCCCAAGCGAAAAGGGTTCTGTCTTCAGGGCCCCGACTGTAAGGAAGAGTGGAAAACCCTTCCCCGAAGGGGAAGAGGGCCAGATGGAAGACAAACGCCCTAGACCACCTGCGCCCTAAAGGGCTGGTGGGACTCCAAGGGAACAGCCTATATCCTTATCTAGGGGGGCAGGTCCTCCAGTGGGGCCCAGGCCACGCCGGTGGGCATAGCGATTCGCGAAACGATGCTCAAGACCCTTACGACCCGATCACAAGACCAGACCCTCACTGGCACAAGCTCCCAAAGTACGGACCACTATGCTGAATGCGCAAGAAATTCGAGATCCGCCCGCCCGCGCCCACGACGCAATCGTCGTCGACACCAGCGTCCAGATCGCGAGGCCAGCCTCCTCCCTACCCGCCCGAAGCCCAGAGCACGAAGCAATCGACCCGGCGACCCGCGACCCGATGCGCCCTGGCTGATGCATGGGCCCTCGGGCGCCCTCGGCGATGGCTGCCGTGGTCCAGGAACCGGGGGATCGAGGATCGATGGACCGAATCGAGGTTCGAATACCGACCGATCCTCGATCGATCAACCCTCGGCGGCTCTCGGCGGCAGGCCGCGATGCGTCCGCCGTCGCCGCCGCCGCCGCCGTCGCCGTGGTGGTCGTCGTCGTCGTGCCGCCCCCGAGGCACTGCAGCCCGGGCGCGCCCCCGAGGCTGAGCGCGCCGCCGCCCGCCTCGCGCGCGCGGAGGCGCGCTGGGCCTCGCTGCTCGGAGGCCCCACCGGGTGGCGGCGACGACGGCGACCACGACCACGACCACGACCACGACCACGACCACGACCACGACCATAACCACCACCACCAACACCACGACCACGACCACGACCACCACCATGACCACCACCACGAACACCACCATCACGACCGCGACCACGACCACGACCACGACCGCGACCACGACCACGACCACCACCACCACCACCACGACGACAACGACGACGGAGACGAGGCGCGCTAACGATCCGCACCGAGGCAGAGATTTGTGAAAGGGCCCACCTGTCGAGGTTTGATACACAGCACACCGTTGAGCGAGGAGGAAAAGATTGGAAGGCCCCTCGGAGCCCCCTCCTTGCTGTCTGCCGCGGGGGCCGCTGCGACGGTGGCGACGGCGACGACGACGGCGATGGTTACGGCTACGTCAATGGCCTCTGAGGGTTGCCGAGGGCCGCCGCTGGGATCGGCTCGGGGGTTGCTAAGGGGATGGACGGTTATCAGTGGATGCCATGGTTTGTTATTTCCATTCCCAGCAAGAAAAATAGTAAGGCCACCAGCACCCTAACATGCTCTGCGCAATGCTAGTATGTTGGTCTTTGCTCGCGCTTACACGTTATATGTAGTAGTCCAGTTCTGATGCCTTGAATCATACCAGGTATACGGGTGTTGCAGCTACAACAGTAATTACTTGAACCAGAGCATGCGAACCATAAAACAGATTATTATTGATCACTGACTGATCATACCAATAGTAAGAACTACATGTCATATGTTCTGGATAAGCATCTGTGGAACAAGCATCTGTGAAGCACGTATACCAAAACATCCCAGACGCCACGCGTTAAATGTATGTTATACCGTTTGTGTTGCATCATTACTATTACACGAAGTAGCATCATACCCTGGCCCACCATATGACAAAGCATTGTTAAACGGAGTGAGTGGAACGAGCGATTGTTTAGACAACCACAACATAGACATGGCATGCGTCCCTACACATGGCAAGACCTTGCTTACAAACGGGTTACAGATGCTTCCAGTGGCCCAGGGTTGGTCAGATAGTTTCGCCAGGTGGTCTTCGCCCACTTAGCCCGTATCGTCAACTCCCCTAAGCCAGTTGGGACATTTGCAACCCGTTTATAAGACAGGGTTTGCCAGGTAGAACCCGATTTTGGTATCCATGGATTACCCCCCTGTCCCCTCAGCAACCCCCGCGCCCATCCCAGAAGGCAGGAGCTTGGGGGGGGGGTGGTTGAGTTGTTGGAGGACTGGTGCCCGCTTTCTGGATGTTGTCGATCGTCCTAGGGCGCCCCCGTGGCCACGGCTGGATCGGCCTCGACATTCGGGGCGGGGTAGTGCGCACACCAGGAGAGTCAGGATGGAAAAAAAAGCACGCAGGCACAATTAATCGCCGATTCCTCAGAAAATATGGGCAACTGTGGGAAGTGTGGGGGGGGGAGACGAAAACCCAGAACATAGGGGAAAATATGGCCCGGGCGTATATGCGAATCTTGTTGTTCGTGTGTGTTCATTTGTGCGTCCTGGGGCCCCATTGACAGAGGTCCATGGCCACACGGTTTACCCCCGATCAGGGGCCACGTCCGGGCGCCGTCTGCCCCGTCCATTCGGGCCTCTTCTCCTGCTGTCCGGCGCGGCTTCGGCACGGCTTCGGTGCGGATTGGCCATGGACTCGCGCGGGTTCGGTTTGGATTCGACGCGGATTCCACGCGGGTGGTGGCGCGACGGGACAGACCAGGTCCCCGGGGGGGTGCGGCCTGAAAGGGGGAGGATCGGGGGCCCCCAAACGTGGTGGTGACCACACCGTACGGTGAGTCGGTGGGGATTCGGGCGACAGGGGCCTCCAGGGTCCCAAGACCGTGCGGTGACGGACCGTGCGTCGAGGTCTTGGGGGATTTCGAGGTCACCGCACGGTCTGTCACCGCATCGTTTCGGGACTCCAAAGAGGAGGAAGGAGGAAGGACTCTAGCGAGGAGGCCTCTCGAAGAGGAAGAGGAAGGAGTGCATCGACGATGCGGCGCGATCCTCCGACTCCGTCCATTCTGATCCCATCTGGCAGGCCTCTCTCCCTCCAGCCCCCCCCCCTCCTCCCCTCCCCACCCCCCCTCCCCCCCTCCCTCTCCCCCTCGTCCTCCCCCTCGTCCCTCCCCCCCATCCCTCCCTCCCCCCTCGTCCTCACCCCTCCCCCCTTCCCCCCTCCCCCCCCCCTCCCCCTCGTCCTCCCCCCCTCCCCCTCGTCCTCCCCCCTCCCCCTCGTCCTCCCCCCCCCTCCCCCCCTCGTGCTCTCCCCCTCGTCTCACCCCCTCGTCCTCCCTCTCCCCCCTTCTACAATTACACAATATGAAAATACTCTCCCACTTCCCCTGATGGCGTCCCGAAGATATCCGACACCCCCCCGCGTACTGTTCTTTTACACACAGGATTCCCGGGAAACGGGTTTTCGCATGCGTTTTTTTTCAAAGTGCTGCTCTCGCTGAGGCGCCGGCCTCATTTCTGCTCCCGAATCGTTCCGAATCGTGCTCCCGCTGCAGCGTGGGCCTCATTTTCGGATCGGTGTTTGGCCTCCGTCGTTCAGGATGGCGTTCTCGCCCCAGCGCGGGCCTCTTTCTCGCGCGCCCATCCGCCCGCCACCACCGCGCCGCACCACCACCACCACCACCACCACCACCACCACCACCACCACCACACCACCACCAGTACCACCACCACCACCACCACCACCAGCACCAGCACCACCACCACCACCACCACCACCACCAGCACCACCACACCCACCACCACAACCACGCACACACAAACGCACGCACGCACGCGCACCACCACCCACTACGCACGCGCGGAGCCACAGGTCCGCTACGACACGCGTCCGCGGATAGAGAAAATCAGCGCCATGGTAAGGGATGGGAGGGAGGGGTAGGACGTCAGATATGACGCGAGCGCACCTAGCTTGCCCTTCTCCCCTTTGGCCCCCTCTTGGGCTCCCCCCCGCTCGCCGCCCGGAGGCCTCGAGGAGCGGGCCAACGGCGACCTCAGCCTGCCGCTGCGGGCCGGCGACGCGGCGCCCCCGATGAGGGAAACGAAGAATGACGCAAACATGAAAACTCCTCCTCCTCCTCCTCCTCCTCCTCCTCCTCCTCCTCCTCCTCCTCCTCCTCCTCCCCTCCCCCTCCTCCTCCTCCTCCTCCCCCTCCTCCTCCTCCTCCCCTCCCCCCTCCTCCTCCTCCTCCTCCTCCTCCTCCTCCTCCTCCTCCTTCTCCCCCTCCCCCTCCCGAGAAAACTCGGAGGTCCGCGCGGATTTCTCGGATCGGCGCTGGACCCCCCTCCCTGGCGCGCGGGTCGCGCCCGGGGCGGCGCCGGAGGCGCCGCCAGGGGGCCCCTATCAGGGAGCCAGAGACGGCGTCAACAGCTGACGGCGTAACAGGAAACGGCCGGTTCGAGGCATCAAATGGCCCTTTTGTTGCAGTGCAGTTTTCTTTGGTGTTCGCGTTCGATGCAGCTGCGTTGCACATTTTCGGCTGCTGCACTGCAACTTTTTGTTTTGGGCCCTCTGTTACCCGGTCTGTGGGGCTTGTCTGCAGGTTTCCCGCAATTAGTTGCCAACAAATTGCAGTGCAGTTTTTTCCTGCGTTGCAAAAACAAATCAGTGCATTTGTTTGTTCTGGTCGCTGCAGCTTTTCCACCTGGATCCCATGGTGGGTCTGTTACCCCGTTTAGGCGTTACCTGGTCTAGTGCTCCCTGACCCCAGTACCGATCCGATAATTCCGCGCGGACCTCCGAGTTTTTATGTTTATGTCATTGTTCGTTCCCCTACCCATGGAGCTCGTCGAGGCGAAGACGGGCGCCAAGGCCCGGGGGGAAGGGTTGAGTCGGGCATGTCCCTCTACAGTCAAGCAGTGGCGAAGCGCTCTGGGTCGCCTGTAGCCCTACCAAAAAATGTTCTTAGACCCTTTCGTGGTTTCCGCGAAATGTTCTTAGAACACTTCAGGCGGAGTGTGTCTTGTTTTATCGCATCAGGTATATGGTATAAGAACATTGATTTTGTTATTAGAACATTTTTGGGTTCTAAGAACAGTTAGTAGTAGGACTATAGGAATGCTCGGACGGTCGGTCCCTGCTCAACACGGGAGAAACATTCAAAATAGTCACAAACAAAAACAATCTGGGGACGATGTTGTTTATCATGCTGACTGTGTTCGAGTATTGCTTGACTATGTTTGACTCGTCTTCGAAAGTCCGCCTCTAGGAGGACATGCACGACCTACGGGAAGTGATAAGGGGCTGGCCTTCTCAGAAGGCTCGGAAGTCCCACGGCCTTCGGCAAGTTTTATGAGCTTTCCCAGAAGACAGTGAAACCTTCTCGGAAGGCGCGGGGGGGTCAGAAATTTCGTCGCCTTCTGAGAAGGCATCCTCCTTCTCACTTCTCCCCTCGCTCGCCGCAGAGTCTCGTCATCAGCACCATCATCTACATCGTCATCATCACCACTATCAGCATCTGCATCATCACCACCACCACCATCATCATCATCACCACCAGCACCATCACCATCACCATCACCAATCACCACCGTCACCATCATCATAAACACCGTCATCTTCCTCCTCCTTATCATCATCAGCAGCATCATCATCCTCATCTTCATCATTATCATACTCATCACCATCACCATCACCAGCATCAGCATCATCATCACCATCAACTTCTTTATCACCGCCACCATCATCACCATCATCACCATCATCACCATCACCAGTCATCACCACCATTACCATCATCAACACCATCACCATGACCACCACCATTGGCAGCATCCCTACCAGCATCACCATCACCATCACCATCACCATCATCATCATCATCATCATCATCATCATCATCATCATCGTTTCATCAGCATCAACATCATCGTCAGCATCATCATCAGCAGCAGCATCATCAGCAGCAGTATCCGGTCACGTATCATCTGTTGGCCTGTGGTTGTCCAGGGTTTGGGTTCCTGCGCAGCCCCACGCCCAGCGCCCTCGTCCCCCTCGTCTCTCCCGCACGCCACCCCAGCTCCGCTCCCCTCCTCCGCCCTTCCCTACCCCAGGGGTCGACCTGGACACTGCTTTGGCGATTTCGTGCATTTGTCTCGATTTCGTGTTGCGGCACGTGCGGATGGAGCACATCACGGGTTTAGGGTTTAGGGTTTAGGATTTAGGGTTTAGATCAGGACATGCTATTTTTTGCAGTAGATGGAGCGGGTTTACATAGGGGCTCGCAACGGGGACCGCCCACTTTTTGCTGTAAAAAAAGGAATTCTGCACGCATGCGCAGGAAATGCAATTTTTTGCAGTAGATGGAGCGGGGTCGCAACGGGGACTGAGCACTTTGTGCTGTAAAAATAGGAGATTCTGCACGCATGCTCAGAACATGTTTTTTTGCAGTAGATGGAGCCGGTTTGCATAACGACCGCTTTTATGGTATTCAGGATTTAATAATTATAGGATTAAGAATTTAGGGTTCAGGGTTTAGGGTCTACTAGGCGTGGCCACGAGTACACCTGGACCGCGAACCCACCTGCGGTGGCCGTCGCTCCCACCCGCACGCCACCCCACCATAAAGATCATCTCTCCCCTCGGTAGAACCACAGCGAGTGCAACGTCGACGACGACGACGACGACGACGGCGACGACGGATGTGCGATCCAGTTGGCACGCGAGTGCTCTAAGCACGCATGCGCAGGAAGCGCGAGGTTGTCCAGGAGATGGAGCCGGTGTACACAAGGGGGTCGCATTTTGTATTGAAAAATACAGGAGATTCTGCGCTCAGGATGGAGCATGCTCAGAATCAGCAAATGCTATTTTTTGCAGTAGATGGAGCGGGTTTACATAACGGGGTTGCAACGGGGACTCGGCACTTTGTGCTGTAAAATACATGAGATTATGCGCGCATGCTCAGGAAATGCTATTTTTTGCAGTAGATGGAGCGGGCTCGCAACGGGGGCTGGGCACTTTGTAGTGTAAAATACAGGAGATTATGCGCGCATGCTCAGGAAATGCTATTTTTGCAGTAGATGGAGGCGGATTCCAAAACGCCCGCTTTTAGGTTATTTAGGGTTTAATAATTATAGGACTAGAAATTTAGGGGGAAACCGAACCAAGACGATGTCGAACAAAAGCGCTCTTTGGGCCGATCCTTGCCTCGCCCTCGTCTCTTCTTTCCCTCCCCGCCTCCGCCGCCATCCTCCCCACTCCGCCGAAGGGCAGGAGGAAGAGGAAGAGGGGGGGGGGGAGGAGGCGGAGGAGGTGGAGGCGGAGGATGAGGAGGCGGAGGAGGAAGTGGTGGAGGAGGAGGAGGACCGCCACGACGACGAGTGCGACGGCGAAGACGAGCACCACGACGACGACGACCACGACGACGACCTGCGCCTCAGAGGTCTCCCTGCCCGGGCTGCTCTCCGAGGACCCGTCCTCGGTGCTCCTGGTCTTCATGCGCCACTTCGGCTGAGTCCCCTGACGCGACCACGTCGCCGAGCTGATCAAGAAGGCCGGGCAGCCCCGGCGAGGTCCACTGCGTCGCAACGTGTCAAGCAGTGGCGAAGCGTCCTGGTTCGCCTATAGGCCCACCAAAGAATGTTCTAAGAACCTTTTGTGGTCTGCGGGGGATGCTCTCAGAACATTTCTGGCTGGGGTTGCCTTGTTTTAGCACATCGGGTTCTTAGAACATTTTTTGGTTCTACGAACATGTCGTGGAAGGCCTATAGGAATGCCGGGACGGTCTGTCCCTGCTCAAACGGGGGCCTCGCGTAATTGAGGGGGGGGCGGATGCATGGGGGGACGGCGAACGCTGCAGGAGAGGGGCCCCCTGCGGCCCTGGAAGGGGCCCAAGACGGGGCCCAAGACTGGGCCCCAGAGGGTCCGAGAAGTGCGGCTTTCTCTCCCCCCCCATCAGTTGCCCCCCATCAGTTGCCCCGCCAGCAGTTGCCCCCCTCCACGAAAGAGGCGCGTCATGAAGGGGAACGGGCCCTGAGGTTTCTCGCAGTTTTCGGGCTCCCGGGGCGCTCCACTCGTCCGAAAACTGCTCAGGTCGGGGGCCGCATGCGAACCCTGCCCCTACCCCCCACGATTTTCGAGGGGGAGGGCGGGGCTCACGTCGCTCGGGAGCTCCCGAGCGAAGTGAACCCCACCCTCCCCCTCAGAGATCGTGGGGGGCAGGGGTAAGGTTCGCTTGTGGCCCCCGTATCATGACGACGAGCTGGGCCAGGGAAAGGGCCCCTGGGTCCAGGCCCCGTTTCCCTCGGGATCCGTTTCTGTCACAGGTCATGCCGCATCATGCCGGTCCGATCGATCTGATTCGAGGTCGATTTCGGCCGGCCCGATCCGGTTCGATGCCGATCTTCTGGCGATCCGAGGCGCCCCGAGTCTTTCACGTCGATGCTGTGGAGCATAGGGCAGCACATCCGATTCGAGTCCGGCTCCGTGCCATTGCAGCCCGATCCGACGCGCATTAAGATTCGAGCCCGGTTCGCGATTCAATGTTCATTGATTCTGCCCTCAAGGGAACAGAGAACAGAATTGGTCGTCGTCAGCAGAATTAGACGGGCGGTGTTTGGCAATGTCGGTCATCCAGGTTGCCCTCACCGGGCTCCTGATGAGTAGCCAGTCCCGCGGACAGGGTCTTCACTTGCGTGGGGCCCACGCCGTAAGAAGTCACGGCGCTTGGGAAGGGAGGGAGAGGGGGACGGAAGGAGGGACAAAGTGTGCTTGCGACATTCCGGCATACAATTTTTCTCCATTCGAAACCGAGGTCATGACCACGAGCAGAAGTGGCTACCTGCGCTGACGTGTCCAATCTCGCATGACACGTGGCGGCAGAGGGGAGGAGGGAGCAGGAATAGAGGACGGGCTTGTGCTCCCTCCTCTCTCTTGCCTCTCTGCTGTCAGTACGTGGGCCGGCCTACGGTAGGTTCGTGTCGTGTCGACTGGCGGTGTGCACGCCGTCGGCGTTCAACGTTGAACGCCACCTGCGATCCAGAGTTGGTCGAAGTTGCTCGATCTGACGTTTCGGAAGCGGCCTATCGTTCAAGGCTGAAGGATCCCCGCGGTGTCAGGAGCCAGCGCTGGGGGTGTCGTACGCTTGAATTCGTGTCCTTCGCTGAAGAGGCTATGGCCTTCACGCCATGCCCGGATGGGCACGGGCGGGCTCGAATGCGGAGGGTGCATGGCTCCCGCGTCCGTTCGTCTGTTCTTTCCTCTCTGCTGTCCAAGGGGTGCTGTTTGCTGCGTGGTCGGCTTGACTCGCTCAGGGTCGTCTGGGCCTCCCAGGCGGGGTCCGAGCAGACGGTCGCAAGATAGCGCCGCATCGCTGATGCATCGGCGATTCGGCCCGATTTGGAGCACAGCCGCCCCCACCTCGACGTCGCCGATGCAGCGCCAGCGTCGCCGATGCGTCGCCGATGCAGCGGCGACGAGTCAGCGATGCGGCGTGATCCTCCGACCTCACCCTATCGGACCCCATCTGGGATGCTCTTAAGTTGGCCCTCGTCGGCGCAGCCAGGGCGAGGTCGACTACAGAGGCACAGCGCAGTCAAAGTACCCTGTCACGGCAGGTCCGTGTCGAGTCGGCGCGGCGGCGACTTGGCGCGGGCGTTCAAGGTTGGATGCCGGCAGTGTTGAGTTGGGCATGCCCCTTTCCAGGAGGAGTATTTAAAGATCGTAAACAAATAGTCGGGGGACGATTTCTCGTTTTTACCATGTTTGAATATGATTTGGTTTTTTCTCCAGAATCCGCCTGTTGGAGGACATGCCCGACCTAACGCCAGTGGGCTGGAGCCGGCCGGTATCGAACGATCCTGCGCGATGTCGAACGATTCCCGCGGTGTCAGCGACCAGGCCGTACGTCGTCACAGCGCGAACCCGCCGTGCAGGGCCGCCTACGATTCGATGTGATTCGGTTCGCCTGCTGGGGCCGCGATGTCGGCGATTCCGATTCGATTCGATTCGGTTCAAGCAGTGGCGAAGCGTCTCGGCTCGCCTATAGGCCCACCAAATACTGTTCTGAGAGCCTCTTGTGGTCTGCGCAAAGTGTTCGAACACTGCTGGCTGGGGCTGCCTTGTTTTAGCACATCGGGGGTCATGTTCTAAGATCACTGCTTTCGTTATTCGAACATTTGTGGGTTCTAAGGGCATTCCGTGGTAGGCCTATAGGACTGGCGGGACGGTCGGTCCCTGCCCAATCTGTGCGATCCATTTGCATCTGCGGCGGGCCAGCGGGAGCCACGCGCGGCGATCCGATCCATCGTCGTGTGTCCACCCGGGACGCTCCGCTGGCCATCCCATCCGCTGCGGCTCCGACCCCGCGATGCGGTGCATCCCGTGCTCGCCGTGCCCCAGATTTCCTAATAAAGGGAGGGGGGTCTCATTTCGGGGGGGGTCTCTTCCAGGCTATCTTGGAGGGCCTGGGGGGTCCGGGGACGGTGTTTTGGAGGGTTCTCCCACGGGGGGGGGGTCTGAAATGGCTTGTCTTGGAGGGTCCAGACCCCCTCCCTTTTATTACGAAATCTGGAGTGCCCTCCTCCACCTCTGCCTCCACACCCTCCCCGCCAGCGAAGGCCGATAGGCTGCGAGACCTGCGCTGCACCGTCGTGGTCGTCACCTTCAATCCAGACTGCGAGACCGGCCAGCGGTGGAATCGGGAGGCGCCGCGGGCAGGGCGCATCGCGAGAGTCGCCCCTCCGAGGAGGAGGGAGGCAGGGAGAGGTAGATGAGAAGGCCATGAGGAGGAGGCGTAGGGACGGAAGGAGGGGTGAGGGGGGCGGGAGGAGGGAGAAGGGCGAGGAGAGAGGACGAGAACAAAACGAGATGGGGCAGTTGGAGGACCACGACGGGGGGGAGCTGCGAGTACTTCGAGGAGAAGGGGGGTGGGCAGACGAGCAAGATGAGAGGAGGAGCAGGATGATTTCGAGCATAGCTCCGACAGGACGTCTTCCTCGTCCTGCCACCTTTCTATCACACGGTCGGTCCGAGGTATAAGATCGATGTCGGTTCGGGAAGGGTACGCTACGTACTCATCTTCGTGTTTGTTGGATGTTCTTGTGATATCCTCTGGAGAGTACCTTTGGATGTTTTTGTATGGTTTGGCCGGCGGAGGTTCTCGTATTCTTGAAGGGTGTTAGTCTGTCCCAGGTTTGGCCGCATTCCTCTCATCATCATCCCAATCTTCAGGAGGAGAAAAAACACAGACACAATGAACCGTCGATTTCCGAGAAAATATGGGAAACTATGGGAAGTGGGGGGGGGAAGGCAGAAACCCAGAAAATATGCGGAATCCTTCAGTTTGCGTGTATTTATTTATTTGTGTGTCCTTCAAATCTGTCTCCTCTTCGTGGAGCCAACACGTTGGGCCTCGAAGCGCGCCCCCCAGAGGCCGCCCGCGCCGTCGGCCGATCGGCGAGGGCGGCCACCGATCTGGCCACTGGGCAGGTCGGCGCCGAGGTCCGAGGTCGAGGTCGGTTCGGGGAGGGTGCCCTGATGCTCTTCGTGCTTGGTGGATGTTCTTCGTGCATCCAAGGGCGCCCTCGAGGGCGCGAAGTCATTCGCGCTTCGCGGTTCGGCTCCGATTCCTCCTCATCCTCCCCTTCTCCCCTGGGAGGCGGCGCGAGAGCGCGAAGTTATTCTCACTTCGCGCTTGGCTCAGCGCGAAGCGCGAAGTTGGGAGCCCTGGATGTTCTTCGTGCATCCTGGGGGAGGGTACCCTCGAGTGTCTCTCAGTTTGGCAGGCGGAGGGCCTCAGGTTCTTGAAGGATGTTCTTCTGTCCCAGGTCCGACCGTACCTCTTCTTCATCATGCTACCTTCCTCGTCTCCCTCGCCTTCCTACTCTCATCCTCGTTCGAGTCCTGCTCCCCTCCTCTCCGTCCTCTCCCACGTCCGATCGTGTTGTTTTCCCCGGGATGAGGAGGAGAGAAGCGAGGAGCAACGAGAACGGGCTGGGACCGCTCCGCAGAGGTTGGCTCCCCCTTCCTGCAGCTGATGGACCCGGCATGTCCGGGCTCGCCCGGCGACGCGGGGGCCACCTACAGGGCCTGGGGCTTCCGCAAGTCCTTCGCCGGGGTGTGGTCCTCCAAGTCCCTCAGGCGGGCCCCCTCCGTAGACACGCTAACGGCGTTGCAGGTCTCGGTAGTATGCGTGGTGGTGTTTCGTGGCCAACCCAATTGCAAGAAAGCGTTGTTCGTGTTTTCCTACATTTTGTCTTTTGCGACTTCGGCGTCGGTAAAGTCGCCGTTGAACCAGCATTGCCGTTAGCGTGGCCCTGGCCCTCCTCCTCCCCCTCCTCCCCACCTGGTCCTCATTGTCTTCCTCATCCTCGCCCCCCTCCTGGTCCTCGTCCCCCTCCTCCTCCTCCTCCTCCTCCGCCTCCCCTCCTCTCCTCCATCATCATGTCTTCTTCTCTCCTTCACCATTTTCCTCTCCACTTTTCTTCTCATTCTCCTCCTTCTCCTCCTCCTCCTCTCCTTCATTTTTCCCCTTCTCCTCTCCTCCACTCCTCCCTGTCGCGCCACCGGGGCGTTGCATGTGCGGGCCGTGCGTTTCGCCTCTGTCTTCCTCACCGTTTGCGATTTTGAAGCTTGACGTTTCTAAACGTTGCGCGGATTGAGGTCGAACAGTGTTCATGATGTGGTTCTCGCCTGGGCCCCGCGCACACTCGCCATAGACAATGGCACGAGTTACACGGATGGAGGATGGTTTCTCTTCTCGTGCTCTCGTATAAGTGTTTCTCAGATTGTGGAATTTTGGAAATTGGAACATATACATTACCAGTGGGGGGTTGTTTTTTTCAATCCTACGACTTCTTGAGGGTCGGGGACGACGTCGGGGTGGTGTGGTGTATACTTTTCCTCCGCTTCCCAAGGGGAACAGCGAAACGTGTATACACCCGGATCCCGTATACACCAGGATCCGCGTTCCTGTGCGAATTTCAGTTCGGGGTCGGAAAAAGCGTCGGTGTATACAATTCGTTTCCCTACTCCAGGTTTCGTAATAAAAGGGAGGGGGTCTGGACCCTCCAAGACAAGCCATTTCAGACCTCCCCCGTGGGAGAACGCTCCAAAACATCGTCCCCAGACCCCCCAGGCCCTCCAAGATAGCCTGGAAGAGACCCCCCCCGAAATGAGACCCCCCTCCCTTTATTACGAAATCTGGAGTAGGAATGTTGCCCTTGCTGCAAAGGATGGCGGACGGTGAGTCTCAAGCTGGCGGTCAGACTCCAGCACCGCTGCCACGTCTGCACGGCCGGAGGGCGCTGTGTGCTTTCGCCGGGCGTGGCCGCCGTGGAACCATTCCCGTACTCCGGATGTCGTCATCAAGGGAGGGGGGTCTCATTTCGGGGTAGTATTCGGGCTTCCAAGGTGGCCGAAATATTACCACCAGCACCGAAATCTAGGATCACCCTCCCCTGGTAGAGGCAACCCTCGGCATTGGTGTTGGTGCCCATTTCTACGCCTCCAAGTGTGCGCTCTCTCGAGCGCGCGCTGCGGGCCACTCGCCGTGCTCTCGCGAGCGCCGCGCTGCGGGCTATCTTGGAGGGCCCGGGGGGGTCCGGGGACGATGTTTTGGGGGGGCTCTCCCACGGGGGAGGTCTGAAATGGCTTGTCTTGGAGGGTCCAGACCCCCTCCCTTTTATCACGAAATCTGGAGTAAGCAGTTGACCGTCTGTATTTCGTCAGTGTCGCATTCCTCATACAGGGTGGTGCGCTCCGCGCGCCAGGGAGGGGGGTCCAGCGCCGATCCGAGAAATCCACGCGGAACTGCGAGTTTTTATGTTTATGTCATTCGTCGTTCCCCTTTCATACTTGGAGACCAGCGGAGGGCGAGGGGGAGAAGCGAGAACGAGAAGGCCTTCTCAGAAGGCGGCGGGACTTCTGAGAGGTGTCCTGCGTCCTCGGGGGAGGCTCAGGAGGCTTCTCAGTCGGCCGGGGGGCTTCCGAGCATTGTGAGAAGGCCTTCTCCTTCTCACTTCCCCCCGGGCTCGCCGCCGAGGAAAGATGCAGGGCAGTCCCTCGTTAACACGGTGATCCCGCCTGAATTGCGGACCAAATGGGGCAGTGTTTTTCCAGGAGGCGCTTCGCGCGGGGGAAACTCATGCTTTTGCTGTGGGGGCTTGGGACGAGAAGGACACACACACACACACGCACACACACACACGCACACACACACACACTGCGGAACAACACACAAACACACATTGCGGAACACACACATTTTGTAACGAAGACACAATTTGTCAGTCGGCGGCGCAGAGGAGCCTGAGGCGCGGTCGGCAGGTGGAGGTGCCAATTGCGAACGAACTTAGTCGAACGCGCCACGATGAAACAATACAGTCACGGCCATGCAGATTGGTGGTGGAAAAAGAGAGGCGTTCGAATGCCAAAGTGCAGCGGCCCAACAACCCGCGGAACGAAAACTCGTCGCGGGAAGTTTGAAGCGCAAACGGCAGTCTGGTGCTCATTGATGCCTCAAGGAGGCAACGAAACATAATTGCAAGGTTGTCAGACAGGCCAGCTGTGTGGTGGTGCATACACGCAGGCAAGTTGCGTGACAGAGCAACGCCACCGACCTTGCAGCGGGCAAGAACCAGATAAAACGACCCTGCAACATAATGTAAGAGGTCGGCGTGATAAAGGTGATCACGCGGCCGAGGCTGGCCTAGCCTTGGACAACAACAAAACTGAACGCGGGCGACCGCGAACAGCAACCGCGACACGCGGCGGCACACATGGGTGGTGGACAGGCGCGAGCATGGCCAACGTGCAGCGCAGACGCCATCGTTAAAAGATCAACTCCAACCGCAACCAACGCTGCGAAGAGCTAGCATGAAACAGGCGAAATCAAAACAACAAAAGGTGGGGTAACCACCTAGCCACAAGAGGGACTGTACGCGTCACCGCAAATGTCGCACCACACCGACCCAAAGGCGGCACCATCAAAACGGAGGCAAGCACTACGAACCCGCCAACGGGATACGCCAACGCTCGGACAGAAGGAGGCAGACCCCCGCGCTGGGGACGACCGGGAAAGGGAAAATGGATCATGGAGAGGAAGGGCACGCAGCAAAGGCAAAAGCCAGAGAGGAGCCCGAAGAGACGACGGCGGAAGACCCCGCCGCGCGGCCGACCCGCGACGGACCGACGGCGGCGAGGCGAGCGACCCCCGCGACCCAAAGGGAGGAGGGGACCGACGAACCACCGTGGAGAATGCTACCGGCAGAGCAAGCTGACCTACAGCTGAAAGGCTAGCAGGAACAGCGAAGTGCAACCCCAGGTGCGGACGCGGACACCCAGTTGCGGCACCAGGAAGCAAACATTCCAGCCGTTTTGCGTAACCCCCACCAGCCCATTCAGAAACGATGCCCAGTGGAGTTGCCTCGATCAAGGAAGTGGGCAGCACGCAGAGGGAGGGCCCCCCAGTGGAAGCCTCTTGGAGCGTCTTGGGGGCCTCTTGGCGGTCTCGGAGGCATCTTGGAGCGTCTTGGGTGCCTCGGGGAGCTTCTTGGGGCCTTTTGGGGGTCTCTTGGGCGCCTCTTGGAACCCTCTTGAAGCGCTCTTGGGAGCCTTGGGAGCGCTCTTGGGGCCATCGTGGAGGACATCGATCAAATAAGAGGGCCGCAACTGTTCAGTAAAACCGATGATTTTGGCTTCCTCGCCGAGGCCGTTTTGGACGCCCTGACACCTCGCGACCGGCCCCGTCCAGGTCCGCGGGGGGGTAGGGGGAGGGGTAAACCCCTCCCCACAGGGGAAGAGGGGCAGATCGAAGACAAAACACCCTAGACCACCTACGCCCTAAAGGACTGGTGGGATTAAACAGGCCTCGGCCATGCCGGCCCGCACCCCATGCCAGGGAGCAAGCAGCAAAGCGGTCAAGCTGACAGACGGAAAAAGGCGCCTTAGAGGATGAGGCATGTTGGAGTCCTTACCCCCTGGATGGGGGCGTTTCCTTTGTAGAACTTGCGCCCGTCTGTCACCGCATCGTGGGCGAGGGGGTGGGCGGAAGCGGTGGAAGGAGGCAGGACAACGAGAGAGAGATTTATGCATAGATATACAGATATGTATACATGCGGAATCAAAGATAGGGATCTGCTTATGTATGGTTTCATCATCGTCACTCAAATAGTTGACTCGAGAAAAACGACTGATTCGTGCAATGTGCCATAATTTCTGCCTGCTCTTGCCCAGCGCGTTGAGCCTTCATAGCAGGATCTTGCGGAAATGCGTATATTGCCCATTTCATTTTGTGAAGATGTTTTGGCGCTAAAGTGCGCGTGCGTGCAAGTGTGCGTTTATGTGCGTCTGCGCAATCACGCGTTCGCGTGTGTGTGTGTTGTCCGTTTTGTGTACATGCACTCGTGATTGCCAGGGCGTTCGCACATGTGCGTTTGTGTGTGCGTGTGCGTATGTGTGTACGTTTCCCGGTTGATTTAATTTCTCCAAGCAGCAATTATTGCACATTCCCTACCCCTCCAATAAGACTTTTGTGTGTTTTTGCAAGTCAAGCGTTTCTCCTTGGATTGGCACCCTGTTTTTTGTCAAGAGGCCGTCTTGGGCCTCAGAATTCGCCCCTGGCCCCCGAACTACCACAACAACGGCTCCCGCCGGATACTTCCTTACATGTTGTTCGAACTCGTTCTCTCGCGCGGGACCTCCTCACAATGTGTGCGGGAATGGCGCTCTCGCGTGGGATTTTCTGAGACGCCGCGATCTCGACACTCAGGAATTACGCTCCCGCTCTGAACGTCCTCATCATTATCTTGTGATTCGTGCTTCGTGAGTCATGCTGCACTGATGCTTCAGTGACCCGCCCACTCGACCCTGCCGTCTGGGCCCGCCCGCCCGACCCGTCCGTTAGGGTCCACCTGGCCGACCTGCCCGTTTGGTTCTGCCGCTTGAACTCTTGTTCCGAACCTTCTCCCTGCCCCTTGTCCCTTCCCTGCCCCTTGTCCCTGCCCTGCCTGCTCGTTCTCCATCCTTCTCCCTGCCCCTTGTCCCTTCCCTCCTCCCTTCCTTCTCACGTTGTTAGGGCTGCACCAACTACACGCTGCAGGTAAGGAAGATGTACCTCCAAGGGGGATACGATCGAAGCAGACGGCGGGCATCGAGACTTTGGGATGCGCATGCTGAGTTACACGCGAACAAATACGAGCAAACAGTCTGACCATGATTGTTGTTGTTGGTGAAAGCTTACATCTGACAAATCTTTGTTGTTGACCCCCCTCGAGTGCACCTCGTGGTTTGTTCATTCCAAGTGCTCCTCCAGAGGCTCGCACCCTGGTGTTTACAACGGAGAGTCTTGCGCGTCAGATTGTGCCCCTGGCCCCCCCGAGTTTTCAACAACAACAGCAACAATGGTTCTCACCTGATATGTCCTCACATCTCTTGACGCTTGGCGTATCCACGATCGCCCATCCGGACACGATCGGAGGCTTTCTTGAGGCCTCTTGGAGGCTATCTTGCGCCATGCTCCGCTAGAGGCTTTCGCAGGCTATCCTTAGCCATGCTCAGCTATCTTGAGCCATCGTGGATTTGTCTAGAGGCCTCTGGGAGGTCTGTCGGAGGCTATATAGAGCCATGCTCGACCTCCGGGACCATCTTGGGGGTAGGAGGAGGAAGAGGCAGAGGAGGAGGAGGAGGAGGAGGAAACAGGGAGAAGAAGAAGAAGGAGGGGGAAGAATAGGAGGAGGAGAAGGAGGAATGTGGCACGAGGAAGTTGAAGAGATGGAGGAGGAAAGGGAGGTGGAGGAGAAGGAGGAGGAGAAGGAGGGAGGAGACAGGACATGAGGAGGCAGGAGAGGAGCAGGAAAGGAACGCACGATGACAGGAAGGATGAGAAGCCGGGCTTTGGAGATATGTTGTTGTGAGAGATTCTTGAAGCCTCTGGGGTCCCCTTGGGGTCCCCTTGGGGCCTCTTGGGGTTCATTTTGGGGCCCTTGGGGCCCTCTTGGGGCTTATTGGGGGGGTCTGGGAGGCCTCTTGGGCCCCATGGCTCAAAAAGAGGCCATCCTAAGAGGCTCTCTGGGGTCCCCTTGGGGCCTCTTGTGGCACTCTTGGGGTTCATTTTGGGGCCCTTGGGGCCCTCTTGGGGCTTATTGGGGGGGTCTGGGAGGCCTCTTGGGCCCCATGGCTCAAAAAGAGGGGGTAACCAATTTGGATCCCCTCCTCGGAGACTCAAAAATTGTCTCTTTTGGCCCTCTTGGGCCGCTCTTGGAGCGCTCTTGGGCGCTCTCTTGGGGCCCTCTTCGGCCATCTTGAGGCTTCAGAAGCCCATCCGAAGCGGAACAGCGAGAAGCCCAACCAAATTGATGTTTCCCGGGTGCCCAGGAAGTCTCGAAGGGCACACGGAACCGTTTTTGGGACTGTCTTGGGGCCTCTTGAGGTATGCAGGAGGCTCTATATTGAACCATCTTCGGCTATCTCGAGCCGTCTTGGAGGCTGCCTCGAGCTACCGAGTGCCCTCTTGGAGCCATCTTGGGCCCACCTTGACACTCTTAACTCCCCGCCCCCGCCCCTCCCAGGCCCAGGGGAGGGTGCAGGGGGAGGGGTAAACCCCTCCCCCGAGCAGGGGAAGGAGGAGGAGGAGGAGGAGGAGGAGGAGAGAAGACAACAGCACTTGTGGAACCACCTGCGCCCAGGAGGGCTGGTGGGAGCACTGCTCCCGCCTCCCATCGACTCTGGAGAACCCATGGCTGGTGCGGATGGGATTCGGATGCCGCCACCCCTTTGGGGGGTCCCCGGCCCGCCCCCTCCGCCCACCCGCGGCGAGGTTCTACAGCGACCAGAAGCTGAGCGGGCGCGAGCTGCACCCGTCCCTGGGGCAGGACCTGGCGAGAAGCAGCCCGCAGAGTGGGGGGGAATCGCATACACCGAGCGTTTTCTTCGGGTGGAGGCCGAAGGGTGAGATCTGAAATGCCGCTTCGATGGGAATTCGAGGCTTGAATCTCTGCAAGAGGCGGATCACAAGACGGATTGTCTTTCGTGGTGCAGAAGCCCATTTCGATTTCACCCTGAGCCCTCCACCCTGAGAAAGTGCTCAGAGGCAGTTTGTGTGCTGGAAGGGGGGGAATCTGGGTATGGCAGAACACAGCTTGCAGGGCCTCCGGGGGCAGTGTAGGGGGGGATACATGGGCTCGGGCTCTGGGCGTCGGAGCGTTCTCGCAGGTTCTGGGCGGCCTTCCAGCTTCGGGGCACGCTCGCCAACAGCTGGGCCTCGCCAGGAGCATTTCCGGGGCAACCCGGATCGTCCCGAGTTGTGCTTGGGTCGCGAACGACTGACGGCCCAAATCAGCTGCTTCACCATCGGGACCGCCTGCCCCAGAAGAGCTAGTGAGCCTGCCCCCCGTTATTTTTCGACGTGACCGTTTTGAGACGGGCGGGGCCGATGGCGTTTACATACTTTTCCGGAAAATCTCCAAAGGTAGCCAAAAACAGCGTATTGTTCCATACTGTCATTCGTCCGCTGAGTCCATGGGGAATGTTCTCGTTCGGTTCTCGGTTTTCGAGGTTCAATGTTTTCTGACTCGAGGTTCGAGACTCGCGAATATTCTCGTCGGTTCTCGGCAGGCTTGCGGCCTCGGAGTGCTCGCCAGCAGCTGCGCCTCGCCGAGAGCGCTCTGTGGGCTGTGACCAAAGCGTTCCGAGCGGCCGCCGGGGGGGGCCCATCTATGAGCCGAAAGCCAGAAAGGGTAACGCTGGAGAGAGTGGATCTGGGCAGTATTCCTCGTTCTCCTCCTCCTCCTCCTTCTCCTCCTCCTCCTCCTCCTCCTCCTCCTCCCCCTCCTCCTCCTCCCCCTCCTCCTCCCCCTCCTCCTTCTCCTCCTCCCCCTCCTCCTCCTCCTCCTCCTCCTCCTCCTCCTCCTCCTTCTCAAATCGCCCACTCGTCTTTGACATGGGTGCCCGACAGCCCACCCCGCCCAGGCGCCGATTCCGGCTCGACGTGTTCTCCCCGAGCTGCTCCCCCCCCCGCCGCCTGCCCCACTAGGAGGGGACCGCTCTTGGCTTGAGAGGCACCTGGTGGGGGCGGGCGTGAAGCTGTCTGCGATGTCGGATGAAGTCGGGCCTGTCCCTCTACAGGGGGAATACCTACACGGCCACCGTTTTCGGGTGGGGGGAGGAGAGGGGGGTGAACCAACCCCTGATTCAATCGATCTCACTCAGCGGGACACCACGGGACACTGATTGATCTCACTATCGATCTCATTATCGATCTAACTCCACAGAACACCGCGGGACACCTCTCGATCTCACTATCGGTCTCACTACCGATCTCACCATCGATCTCACAAAACGGAACACCATAGGACACCACGGGACACCTCGGGACACCACATCGATCTCACGATCGATCTCACTATCGATCTCACTTAACGGGACACCACGGGACACATGTCGATCTCATTATCGATCGTATTATCGATCCCACTTTTTGGGACACCGCGGGACACCACGGGACACCTCGGGGCACAACATAAATCTCACTATCGATCTCACTCAAAGGGACACCACGGGACACATGTCGATCTCACTATCGATTTCACCATCGACCTCACTCTTGGGGACACCATGGGACACCGCGGAACATATCGGGGCACCACATCGATCTCACTATCGATCTCCTTATCGGTCTCACTATCGATCTCACGATCGATCTCACCATCGATCTCACTTCAACGGGACACCACGGGACACCACGGGAGGGACACCTCGGGACACCGCGAGCCACCGCCGGACGGACGGACGGACGGGCGGGCGGGGGAGAATCATTTGTCTTGACTTTGCCCTAGCAGCGGCGGACACCACGGGACACCACGGGACACCGCGGGACACCGCGAGCCACCGCCGGACTGACGGACGGAGGAGAACCATTGGTCTTGACTTCGCCCTAGCAACGGCGGGTTCAGTCCTCTCGCGCGCCCACGCAGCTTCGCCTCGCCCGCACACACGACACGAGCGAAACGAAACGATTTCCTGGTTGGGGTCTCCGTTCCACTGCGATCTCACCCCCCAACTTCCGATTGAAAAATAGTCCAACAATATGATGGGGACGACTTGTTCTTAGTACTTTTGGCCATGTTGGGGGCATGTTTTGTTGATTTTTGATTTCTCGTCCAAAATCCCCCTGTAGGAGGAAAGGCCCGACGTAAGTGTAGGAGCGCCTCTTCTCCATCACTTTAGTGTCCGTGCGCTCGCGAGGAGGCGGGCGGGCGACAGCCCGCCGCTACCGACGCGACGAGCTCTGTCTCCGCGGCTCGCCCGAGAAGAAAGGGGTGTCGCTCCCGGGCGACTGCGACAAAGACGACCACCTCGGGGGCGGCAAAGAAGGGGGGGGTGACTGGGGGGGGGGTCGATGTCATGGCGTGGGCCATGCTACGTCCCCAGATGTCATGGCGTCTCTTCTTGTTTCATTCCGTCGCTGGTCCCCCCCTGGACTGCGCACGCGCCGCCGGCCATGATTTTCACCCCCCCTTTTTGGACGCCCCCCTCTTGGCCGCTCCCGACCACCACGACCAGGCCTTCGCACAACGATGGTGGCAGACGGCGGCGGTAGCGATGGTGGCGGTGATGTCAGGTGTTCGCGGGCGAGAACATGGTTTTGGCGAAAGTGCAGCGAAGATGTGGTGACATGTGCGTGTTGGACGGAGTTCGGATTGTATTTTTGATGCGTGCAAGGGATGGTGACGACAACGTTGCCGATTGCACGATCATGGACATCACGGCCGAAGGTCTGACGACGGGCACCATATTTTTTTGCGAATGACGCTGGTAGCGGCAATGTTTGTTCTGGTATGTTCGTGGTGCCTCCTGTCAGCCGTCCCCCTTCCACTACCAATTAGCCGTGCGCGCGCTAGCTATGTGATGGCAGCCGGGTCGTCTCATGGTGATACAATGGAGGATTGTGTAAGTCGATGAGATGCTCATGAGTTGTTGATATCAGTTGTTGGTGCTTCGCGTACCCTTACCAGCCCGTCCAGAAGTGATGTCCGAGCGATCTGACGACAGTCGACCCACAGAGCCTTCGTGGGCCTGTCGCTTTGAGTCGTCATTCGAGACTTCGATGTGCCATCTTGGGGCTGCCGTGGAGCCGTTACGGGGGCCCCCGGCGAAAACGTTAAGCTCCCTTGGGGGTCTTGTTTGGGACCTCTGGGGCTTTCTTGGGGCCATCGTGGGAGGACATCGATCAACAAAGAAAAAGCGGCGCGGAGTCGCACCGTCTCCCGTGCCATACTTACAACGGCCGTTTCCTGGAGCCTCTCGGGGGTGCCTTTGGGGCGCCCTTGGGGTCCTCTTGGAGCCTTTCTTCGTTGGGCTCCTTGTGGGCGTTTTTGGAGCCACTTTGAAGCTTCAGAGGCCACTCTGGAAGCGAAAAGGCGACAAGGCACAACCACGCATTGACGATGTTGTTCCCCTGCAGGGGCAACCATGGGGCATTGTGGGGCCATTCGAAACTACGTTATGGCAGTCTTGGGTTTGTTTGGAGACTTGCGCTTGGGCTATATTCTGCCATCGAGATGAGATCATCTTACAGCCAGATTGGGTTATATTGGACTCTGTGACTTGTCACGCATATCAAGGGGGAAGGAGGGGTAACCAAGCCCCGCCCCGAAGGAGACGACATACTTGAGAAGCTGAAGTGAACCAAAGTCATCACGACCCAAAGGATTGGTAGGATTGTTAAAGTGGCGTGGTGGTGATAATGATGATGATGATTATGATGGTGATGGTGGTGATGATGATGATGATGATGGTGATGATGATGATGATCATGATGATGCTGATGATGATGATGATGATGATGATGATGATGATGATGATGATGCATCAAGGCTTCATAAGCATCCGCCATTTGCTGGCGTCCACATATATTTCTCTTTCCCACGACAGGCACACTGTTCAGTTGAAGCTGCGCCGCCGAGATGCGTGCCCAGGCACTCGATGTTGAGCAGCCGTGTAGTTACAGCGAATTGCCTTCAGAGCGATGTAGTTTGTGCCTCCATCTGTTTCTCTTTTCGTATCATGTTGCGCCCGCTTCACCCAAGAGGATATCACTCGCCACACTCATCGTCGTCCCCGGTATTCTTGACAGACGAAGCCGAACGGATTCGCGAAAGCAAGACGGCGCCCGCTTCTTGCTCGTGGTCGGAGATAGCCCGTGCAGAGAAGTCCCGGTCGACCGTGGTTTCGTGGTTACATGTGTTTTGACAAACTCACGAGCCGTCATTCCGCTTGGCGACCGCTCTGAAGGCCGATTGCGTGGATCAGGAGCCGCGAGAGGTGTGTCAAACCCATGGTTGCTAGAACGGAGTTTTGAGAAATTGTTGTTCTTCCTCCGGTAAGCAGCCCGTTTCTTATGTAGTGCGTTGAGGGTTATTCCGAGAAAGTGTTTTTTTACGGGCGCAGCCCGTAATTTGATTTTCGCGAGGTAGACAGACTGAATTGAACCACCAGGCCGTTAGATGGCAGTTTTATTTCCGCGGGTGAAGATATTTCGGTGGCAGTTCTAAGCCAGCGGGTGAGGGTATTTCTGTGGCATTTTTAAGCCAGCGGGTGAGGATATTTCGGTGGCAGTTTTAAGCCAGCGGGTGAGGATATTTCGGTGGCAGTTTTAAGCCAGCGGGTGAGGATATTTCGGTGGCAGTTTTGAGCCAGCAGTTGAGGAAATTTCGGTGTTTCAGCGGGTGAGGATATTTCGGTGGCAGTTGATTCCCGCGGGTGAGGATATTCTGATAGCAGTTTAAGCCAGTCGGTGAGGATATTTCGGTGGCAGTTTTCAGCCAGCGGGTGAGGATATTTCGGTTCGGTGGCAGATTTATTTCCGCGGGTGTGGGTATTTGGGCGGCAGTTTTAAGCCGGCAGATGAGCATATTTGTGTCGCAGTTTTGTTCCCGCGGATGAGGATATTTCGGTGGCAGTTCTGAGCCAGCAGGTGAGGATATTTCGGCGGCAGTTTTCAGCCAGCGGGTGAGGATATTTCGGTGGCAGTTTCAAGCCAGCGGGTGACGATATTTCGGTGGCAGTTTTATTTCCGCGGGTGAGGATATTTCGGTGGCAGTTTTAAGCCAGCGGGTCAGGATAGTTCGGTGGCAGTTTCATTTCCGCGGGTGAGGATAGCCCGGTGGCAGTTTTAAGCCCGCGGGTGAGGATATTTCGGTGACAGTTTTAAACCAGCGGGTGAGGATATTTCGCTGGCAGTTTTATTTCCGCGGGTGAGGATATTCCGGTGGCAGTTTTAAGCCAGCGGGTGAGGATGTTTCGGTGGCAGTTTTAAGCCAGCGGGTGAGGATATTTCGGTGGCAGTTTTAAGCCAGCGGGTGAGGATGTTTCAGTGGCAGTTTTCAGCCAGCGGGTGAGGATATTTCGGTGGCAGATTTAAGCCAGCGGGTGAGGATATTGCGGTGGCAGTTTCAAGCCAGCGGGTGACCATCACCCGCTCTATAACACCTCGATAATACCCGATAACACCTCGATAACATGTTTTCGAGATGTGTTCGAGATGTTATCGAGGTGTTATCGAGGTGCTATCGAGTGTGATCGAGCTCGATAACGCTCGAGAGCACTTCGATACCACTCGATGACACCTCGATAGCATGAGGTGTTATCGATGTGGTATCGAGTGTTATCGAGCGGTGGCAGTGTCAAGCCAGCAGGTGAGGATATTTCGGTGGCAGTTTAATTTCAGCGGGTGAGGATATTTCGGTGGCAGTTTCAAGCCAGCGGGTGAGGATATTTCGGTGGCAGTTTAAGCCAGCGGGTGAGGATATTTCGGTGGCGGCTTTAAGAAAGCGGGTGAGGATATTTCGGTGGCAGTTTCATTTCCGCAGGTGAAGACATTTCGGTGGCAGTTTTAAACCAGCAGGTCAGGAAATTTCGGTGGCAGTTTTAAGCCAGCGGGTGAGGATAGTTCGATGGCAGTTTTCAGCCAGCGGGTGAGGATATTTCGGTAGTTTTAAGCCAGCGGGTGAGGATATTTCGATGGCAGTTTTAAGCCCGCGGAGGAGGAGGAGAAGGAGGAGGGAGGAACAGAGAATATCTGTGCTCGGCGCGGGCATCCAGCCGCCACGCGATGCGTCATTCGCTTGGTTTGCCCAGCCGACGGCTACGCATCCAGCGCGGTGCTGCGCCCGTATATATGCTCGCCCCTTGGCCTGGGGCTGGCGGGGGGGCCAAGGGGCGAGCTGTCCGGTGATTTTCTTCCGGGAAGACCGGTTTAGCAGCCACGGATTTGCCAGCTTTCGCCCAGTTTCCGAGTAGAGGGGGCCGCCGTGGTCTTGTTGAGCATGCGGGCCGACGGGGAGACCTCTCTCCTCGAACTCGATTCGCAGCAAGCTTGGGCCGCCCTGGTTGCAGGACGGTGCCAGGGACGCCACAAGGGCCACTCCAACGTCAAATCCCTCCTCCTGCTCCTCGTCCTTTTCCTCCTCCGCCTCTTCCTCCATTTCTTTCTTCTCCTTCTCTTCTCCTCCTCCTCCTCCTCCTTTGTCCTCCTCCTCCTCCTCGGTTGCCTGGGCGTGCGATGGACGATGGAGGTCGCCTGGGCACAATGAGACGTACGGTTCCCAGACTGCCCCGCAGCAAAATTGTGCCAGGACGTCTTGCTTGGGGCGGATCTGCGTGAACACCATTCCTTTCGAACGCTCGACGACGCATCGAGCAGCGGTGTCGTGGGCGCCCGCATGTCGCCGTACGGTCTGCATTTCCAGAGCTCTGGCCTGGGTGCCCGAGTCAATTGCAAACGCTCGAGGTTCCCGTCTCAGAGTCTGCCGCCACGAATGACCCTCATAATGCTCAGCGTGTTGTGATCCTAAGCGCAATCGGGTGCCCGTGCTCCGATCAGTACTCTCGAGTCCACGGCCACATATGCAGGACCTCCTGGCCCACCGCGGAGCCTGATGCACTTCAAGACTGAGCGCATGCAAAGAAGCCATTTGGCCACCGCCCAGAATATTCGTGTCGCCGCAAGTCTAGCAAGATATGCGAACACCATGCTAACGACGAACCCTCGGACCTTGCTCGCACGGGTGGCAACTGTGGAGCGCGGCGCGGCTCGCTGGACACCACCTTCTGACAAGCATGTTATCCTAATGTGGTGGTTCCAGCTGCCGTGAAACGTAGTTTCCTCTGGAGCAGACGCTCGGCAAGATGCCACACGGGGATTGGGACGCCACGTAGTGGCGTTCCTCGCTCATAGATATGATGAGGTTGACGACGACGATGGTGCTGATGATGGTGGTGACGATGATGATGATGATGAGTATGATGTTGTTGTAGTTGACGTAAATGGTACGGCCGCTTATGATGCTGAAGCCAATATTGATGTTGATGCTGATGCTGATGAATGTTGATGATGTTGTTGATGATGCTGATGTTGTTGATGATGAACTTGGTTGATGCTGTTGTTGTGATGGTGGTTGATGATGCTGACCGTGATTATGATTGTCATGCTGAGGATGGCTATGATGATGCTGTTGATGATGATACTGACGATACTGCTGTTTCTGATGATGATGATGATGCTGATGCTGATGCTGATGATGGTGGTGGTGGTGATGATGGTGGTGATGGTGGTGATGGTGATGGTTATGGTGATGGTGCATGTGAATGCGAATGTGAATGTGAATGGTGATGGCGATGGTGAGTGTGACGACGACGACGACGACGAGGACCCACATCGCATGGGCGGCGACGTGCTACTGGACGGGAGCGGCACCGTGGTCCTGCCGTACTACTCGAAGACCAACACGGACCGCTCCAGAGCGCCCATACGGGGACGACAGAAGGAGGATCCAGGTTTTTGCACAGTCGAGATTGATTAGTAGGTCGACCCTGCCAAATCAAGGGTACCCTCGTGTCCTGTGCTTCGCGACCCATGCCTTCGACATTTGTATGGCAACGTGGCCCTCGGAAGGGTCTCGTGTTCTGTCGCGTGTCCTCTTCAATCAGACCCGACTGTATATAATTTTGCGACCTCAGACTCGAGAGGTCTCTGGAGACCTACGGAGGCCTCCGCGGAAGAGACCGAGCTCGAGGACTTCTGGGGTCCTGAGCAGATGGGTCGCGCCGCATCGTCGGTGCATCAGCGATGCGGCGCTATCCAGAGCCCCGTTGCATCGGCGATGCGCTGCGATCCTATTGACCCATCTATTTGCTCCAGCCCATGCGGGAAGCCTCCAGCTACGTGTTTCAACGGTATCTGTTCCATCCCCGCTTGGGATGACCTCAAGGACCGCCCGTCTGTCGAGGACACGCTGCTGCCGCTGGTGGAGGCCCCACACGGGCAGCGCCGCGCCTCCGCCGCCGCCGTCGCCGTCGTGGCCGCCGCCGCCGTCGTCGACGACGCTGCATCGCTGGCGCCGTGGCCGCCGCCGTCGTTGCCGCCGCCGTGGTCGCCCTCGACGACGGCGCCTCGCTGCCGCCGTCGCTGCCGCCTCCGTGTTGTTCGTCGTCCTCGACGACGGCGCCTCGCCGATGCCGTCGCTGCCGCCGCTGCCGCAGGCCCTCGACGGCCAGCGCCGCGCCTCGCGCCGCGCGGGCCCGGGCCCCCTGCGCGCCCTGCAGCTCGTGGCGCTGGGCGCCGCCGCGGTCCACGGCGCGCGCTGGTGCGAGGACCAGCGGCCCCGCCGGAGGCGGCCCGCGCCGACGTCGCCGCCGCCGCCGTCGCCTGCCGTCGCGTGACCGGCGCCGCCTGCCGTCGCGTGGCCGTCGCCGCCGCCGCGGTCTCGCGCCGCGGTCGCCGTCGCCGTCGACGCATGGGGAAGGCGCGCCTGCCGTGCGCAGGAGGCGCTTACGTACTCACACCACCATGCCTGGCCAGGGTTAAGTCGGGCACGTCCCTCTACAGGAGGAATAGTCAGGAAATGTTATAAATATAGTCTTGGGACGGTTGTTCGAGTATTTCTTTGATTATGTTTTGATGTCTTGGGATCTGTTTTATCTGTTCTTCCATAATCTGCCTGTAGGAGGACATGCCCGACCTACGGCAAGAGCCATCTTCGGCCCCAGGATGGCGTATGAGACCCTCGTGCGTGGCCTCGGCCAAGAGGCCGTCCTACGCCATCGTAGGGCCCAGCATGGCCCTGGCAGGGCATGGGTGGTTCCGTCGCCGCCGCCGCTTCGGCGCCCCCGTCGGCCGCCCTGGTCGCCGCCGTCGGCGTCGCGTGCTGTCGCCGTCGCAGCCATCGTCGTCGTGCCGCCGTCGGCGGCGCTGGGGCTCGCCGTGGAGAAAGAGGCCAGCCTGGAGGAAGAGGGTCCTGATCGTTCCCGCCGTCCGCGGGCTCTGGTGAGTTCTCCGCGAGCAAGGCTTGGGGTACGCCGCCGTGTATCCAACACCCGCGTCCTCCAGAGCAGGATTCCTCGATTCGGCTACCCAATCGAGATGGTGGGCGCGGCTGGGGGGCCTTGGGGGAGGGCATAGGGGGCTTCTCAGAAGACGGGGGGCCTTCTCAGACGGCCCACCCCAGCCGCGCCACCCGACTGCACGCGCCACAGTCAGCACGCACAGTGAGGACGCGCGCCTTTCCCAGGGTGCCCTGGTGTCCTTGCATCTGCGGCCCGTCCTATGCCATTTGTATTGGGGTTTTGATCGCCCGCCGCCCAACAAATCCCAGCTTCGGCCTCCAAGGGTCTTGCGTCCTTGCCACCCGTCCTTAACACACGCTATGACTGTATCGGGCCACGGGAGGCTTTTTCGCCTCTCGGGGATCGAGGATCGACGGGCTCCTGGTTCGCCTATAGCCCCACCAAAAATGTTCTAATAACCTTTTGTGATCTGCACGATATGTTCTTATAACATTTCTGGCCAGGACTGTGCTGTTTTAGCACACCAGGCCTGTGTTCTAAGAACATTGCTTTTGCTCTTGGAACGTTTGTGGGTTCCGAGAGCATGTCTTGGTAGGACTATAGGAATGCCGGGACGTTTGGTTCCTGCTCAAGACGGGGCGGAGAGGGGGGGAGCAGGAGGAGCAGGCAGAAGACGGGGGACGGGCACGCACGGCCGGGACACAGCAGACAGCACGGGCAGACCGCGGACCGCACAGCCTCCCACCCTCGCGAGGCCCCGCCAGCTCTTCCCTCCTCGCTCCCTTCCTCGGGCGCGCCTGCGGGGCCGAGGCCCCTCCCGAGCGTGCCTTCGGTGGCTTCTGGGGGGCCTCGGGAGGGCCCCAGCGGAGGTCGACGATGCTCAAAGGCCTCGCGCCGTGAGGTTCGGGGGCGGAGAAGAGGGGGGTGACGACTAGGGGGGGGGATATCATGGCGTGAGCCATGATATTTCCCCAGATTTCATGGCGCCTCTTCTTATTTCATTACGTCCCTGGCCCCACCGCTGGGCCGCGCACGTGCCGCCGGTCATGATTTGCCCCCCCACTCTTGACGGTTGCGCCAGGCCTCTTTCTTTAGATGCTCGTTTTGGCGAGCTCTTTGGGGCCCACCGGACGGATCTGTTCGACCCCATTTCGATTCAAGTTCGACTCAAGCTCGACTCAGGTTCGACTCAGGTTCGACGCAAGATCGACCCGAATCGACGGACGTTCGACGCAGCTTCGACGCACGAGTGGAGCGAGTGGCTCCAGGAAGTTCCCCAGAATGATCAGACAATTTTCTGAGCCTACTCCCGCCTCTGCGCCCAGCCGAGTGTTTGTGGCCGCTCGTGACAGAGCAACCGAAGCTACCCCGTTGCAAAGGGTTCCACCAGGGTCGGCGGTCGGCGTCAGGACACGTGCCCCCAGTGTCTCCCGTTGCCCTGTTAGCCCGTTCGCCCGTGCGAAGAAGTCGCGGTGCTGCAACAAGGGATCTCACACAGCCCTCCTCCCTCCTCGTACCCCTCCGTTGTTGTCTCGACCAGCCGTCCTCTAATCCTCCTCTTCCTCCCTCCTGCTGTTCCTCCTCGATTTGACTCGATGATGGCATGCGAATCCTTCAAGGATGCTATTACCCTGCTGCTCCCTCCCTCCCTCCCTCCCCCTCCCCTTCATCCTCCTCCGTCTCCTCCTCCTTCTCCTCCTTCGCCTCCTCCTCCTCCTCCTCCTCTTCCTCTCCTCCTCCTCCTCCTCCTCCTCCTCCTCCCCCTCCTCCTCCTCCTCCTCCCCCTCCTCCCCTCCTCCTCTCCTCCTCCTCCTCCTCCTCCTCCTCCTCCTCCTCCTCCTCCTCCTTCCCCTGCCCCTCCTCCTCCACCCTTCTCTTCCTCCTCCTCCTCCTCCTCCTCCTCCTCCTCCTCCTCCTCTTCCTCCTCCGTCTCCTCCTCCTCCTCCTCCCTCCTCCTCCTCCTCCTCCTCCTCCTCATCTCATCATCATCATCATCATCATCATCCCCATCCTCCCTCCTGCTGCTCCTCCTCCTCCTCCCACCTCCTCCTCCTGCTCCTCCTCCCTGTCCGTCCTTCTGTTGCTACTGCTGTTACTGTCAGGCCCCTCTGGAGCGCGCTGCTCGCTGGCGGCCTGGCCGCCGCGGCGTGCCTGGCCACCGCCGTGGCGGGGGCAAGGGCGCGGTTCGGGCCCGCCGGCCGGCGCAGCTGGGCGGTGGCCCCCCCTTTTGCTGCTGCTTTTGCTGCTGATGTTGCCGCTGCTGCTGCTGCTGCCTGCTGTTCCTCCTCTTCCTAGCTCCTACTCCTCCTCCTCCTCCTCCTCCCCCTCCTCCTCCTTCCCCTGCTCCTCCTCCTCCACCCTTTTCTTCCTCCTCTTCCTCCTTCTCCTTCTCCTCCTCTTCCTCCTCCTCCTTCTCCTCCTCCTCCTCCTCCTTTCACCCGAATGGTACCAGTCCTGCCTTTTTGTCCTGTGTTCAACCTGTCCTTCCCTGCGCCACTTACAACCTGGAGTGTTCCCGCGCCCACTGTTTTGCCACGCTGTACATGTTTTACATTCCGCTGTCAGAAAGCATCTCCTTTCCACCCATCTCTTTTCGCACTCATTTCGTCAATCGGCAGTGGGGCTTCGGCTTCAATGCCACGGCTGCCATGTCCCGCAACGCCTCGATGGCCATGGGTTCACCCATCTATCTGCCGTTCTACATCGCGCCGCTCCACATCCAGATGATCATCCCCCGATGGTCATCTCGTTCATGCACGTCCTCCCGGTCGGTGTGGTAGGGGACGTCGTCACTCCAGGGTCCGTCGGGGCAGCCCCAGCCCATCCGCTAGGACCTGGTGACGTGGAAGGCGCACATCTACTTCAACAGCGACTTCCACGAAACCTACAATGACCCCGGCCGCGCGCACGAGTTCTCAACAATTTCTCTCCGGCCTGTACAGACTGGCGCAGTTCGTCGACCCTGCACCGTGAGTGCACCCGCTTGTGGATTTAGTCGTTCATTAATGCCAGGCAGTTGTTCGACACAGTTGTCACATGTACGGTGTCAGTGAAGGATCTCGAGTTTTGGCCGCTGTGCCGCGAGAGCATGGGGAGGAGCAGTCACAGAAGAGCAAGGATGTAATGGATGGCGTGGGGACTGCGTCACCATCGCCCAGAGATGCAGCGAAACGGAACTGGAATAACCCTGGGTTGGTCCTTCGGTGCTCATACGCAGGCGGGGAGGAACACATCCAGAGCAAGTATCCACGCCGGTTCGGAGGCGCACTTCCCGAGCAGCGCCGTGGATCCCCGGCTTCCAGCACGTTCGCGACACGTGGAGGGAGCTACTCTCCGGATGCATCGAGGTGGGCATGGGCGCCATCACCAGCTGCGTTTGTTGGCAGAAGCAGCGGCGACGCGCGACGCATTCGCACCTGGGGGCCCGAGCAGCAAACCCAGGCGCGGGTGGTGATGATCATGTGAGTGGCGAATTCGGACCTCGACGAGCTTCGCCAGGCGCCCTACGTCTCGTCGCGCCCTTCCTGCATGGCCCGCGAGCGCGCGGACGAATGGCCGCCAGCTGCCGAGGTCCAGAGAGGGTTCTCCAACGGCCGCCCAGTGCCACCGATTACTTTTCCCATGGCCAGTTGGGCCGAACGGCAGGGCCAACTGGGGGGGGGAGAGCGCGCCTCGGCAGCGCCAGCGCTCATGAACTTCAACTGGCCGCCACAAGAGCGCATCGACAACCTCCGCGAACGTTTCGACATCTTTCGCAACCGGGCGCAGCAAGCTGGGCGCAGCAACCATGTTCAGGGCCCCTGTGGCACCGTGGCCAGATCGGGCCTGGGTGGCATGGCCCCAGCTGCGCCGCGATCGGCACCGGGCCCGCCTGCGCCAGCAGCAGCCTCCAATGCCCGCGCGGCGTCGCCAGCGCAGGGGGCATTCCCGGCAGCGGGCGTCGGTTCAGGCACCGACGCTGACGCCGTCAGTTCTGTCGGCGACAGCGATCCCGAGCTACGCCGCGCGGCGCCCCCGCGGGGCAACGCGGCGCGCGCCTCTGGCGCCGTTGCGAGCGCGCCGAAGCACGCTGGCGCCTCTTCGACGACGACGGGCCCGCGCGCCTCGACTGAAGCGCAGGGCCAGCGGCGTGGGTTCGGGCCGCTCGGGCAACCCCGCGGGCCCTGGCGCGGCGCTTCTCAGATGCCGCGAACGCGACTTCGAGGGGCCCCGCGCGCGCGACTCCGGCGCCGCAATCAAGGGCGCGCTCTCCTTCTTGGCGCCGGCGCCCCAGCGCCGCCGCCATCGCCGCCTGCGCCCTCGCCGCTCGCGCTGCCAAGCAAGCGCGGGCCGCCAGGTCCATGTGAGCAGTGGCCCGTGCCAGGGGCGCGCGCGGTTTGAATGGCGGGGCCCCCCCTCGAACTCGCACGCCTGCGGCTCGGGGCCCCCGGGGGGGGGGGTGATCCCACGCAGAGCGCCGACTCCTGGGCGGCGGAGGCCGAATCCAGCGGCGGCGGCACTTCGGACAGCAGCAGCAGCGGCCGCTCCAAGCGCGTCGTCCGCCAGATCTTGGCAGCGTGTCTCGGCCGCATCTATTGGTCGAGATGGGTTGGCCCATCGTCCTCTTCTTCGTCCTCCCCCACCCCTTGCGACGCCGAACTACGCGCGACGGCTGCGACGGGATATTGTAGAACTTATGAGCCGCGCGCAGACACTGCGCTACCGGCGGGCCCCGCGACTGCGCCATCGGCCCGCGCAGCAGCAGCGGGGGGGGAAGCGCTTGCAGCGCCAGCGGCCCCAGCAGCTTCAACGGCGCCGCCGCAGCCAACGCCGCGAAAGCGGACGCGAGTGGGCGGTGCGTTCTCGTTGGGGCAAGCCCAGGGGAGCGACCGGGTAGGCGACGTCGACGCGCGAATTGCCGCGCCAACGGCCCCGCGTGTCAACGCGCAGTTGCCGAGCTGGGCATGCATGCCGCCTTCAGTCTCAGCCCTCGGGCATCAGTGGCCAATATGGATCGATCGAGTTCCGCGTGGCCGCCGCAGTCCGCGCTGGTAGTCGAGCTACCGCCAGTGCCGGAATCTCCCCAGGGGCTGCCTTGGTTCAACCAGACAGCCCCCTTGGGCATGAGCCAACCGTCTGGGAGAGCGGCCGCGTGGTTCGCCGGCCGCGAGACCTGGCGACGCGAACGCGATTCTCGACCGTGCGCATCAACGGCGCTTCGGAGAGCTCCACGGCACACGGCTCGCTTTCGAACTCGCGCGGCAGCTCGACGAGCAGCGACGGCAGGCCGTGCCGATCTGGACAGACGCCTTTATCAAGATTCCTCCTGTGCCAGCCGCGCCGCCTGCTTAGTTAGCATTCCCCAGTCGATGTTTTCACCAGCGATGACAAGGAGTGTCATATCTGTTTCGAGGCTTTCCAGGATGGCGAGAAGGTGGTGCGCCCACAGTGGCGCCGCATCTAGCACTAGGCATGCAATCTGCAGCTGATGCAGAAATCGGACACCCGATCGGTATTGGTTCAACCGAGACTTGGGGTGGTAACTGCGCCTTTTGCACAGGAGGCTCAGACCACGACATTGCGTGTCAGGCAGATAGGAGACGCACAGCCTACAAGAAGAATCGGTTTTGGTGCTCCACCTGGTCGCCAAGTGCAGACTCGACGGATAGGTCTGGCTCGGGGCGGTTCAGGCAACGGTACGGACCCCAGGGCGTCATCCACAGACAACGTCGGACATTGAACCGCCCTCGATGACATCGAGACACCCTCAGCCCCGTGGGCTAACAATTTTTTCCCCGGTTCGCCATGCTAGTGATATATAATGCCCGCGCACCGTACGGCTACTTAACTGCAGCTGGAGCGAGGAGTCGGGGGTGGTGGCGAAAAGGGTGCACCGCGTGCAGCGCCAGTCCCCGCGCGCAGGAAAGCGAAACAAGTCGGGCTCAAACAGCACCGCAGCGGGCTCGGATCTGCCAGGGGCCGCGGTCGGAGAGGTCGAGAGTTCCGAGGTAAACAAAGCAATCGTGTGGTTAAGTGGGTAGGAGGAGGAGGAGGAGGAGGAGGAGGAGGAGGAGGAGGAGGAGGAGGAGGAGGAGAGGAGGAGGAGGAGGAGGAGGAGAGGAGGAAATGGAGGAGGAGGAGGGTAAGGAACAGGAAGAGGGGAGAGGGGGAGGAGGAGGTGGAAGAGGGATATGACAGCATACTACAGTGGAGACTTCGTTTTGCTTGTCCCTTGGGACGGCAAAGAACAGCACGATCCGGCGGGAGAGGACGAGGAGAGGGAGGGCCGCAAACGGGACCAGCACAAATACGATCAGTAGGAAACTCAGTTAAATAAGTACGCAACGTTGTGGTGTGGATCGGATCAGGAGTACGTGTAGAACGATGAGCCCACGCAAACATGCGAACTATTGGAGAGCAAAGGGGAAGACGAACATCCACACCACATTTCTTTAGAGCGGAATCCTGGCATTTGCGCCTACTTGTTTGTTTGTGCCTCCCTGGCCCGGGCCCTCTCCCCGAGGTGGAGCCGCTGGCGCTGCCGGCAGCGCCGAGGGCCGAGTGCAAGACCTGAAAGTAGCCCCCGGGGGCCGCCCTGGCCCCCCGCGGCCCGGGCGCCTCCCGGCGCTGACCCGTCGGAGGTGGGTCCACTCCCCCTCCTGCCCGCCACCACCTCGATTCCACAGCCTCCTCCCCCTCCTCCGCCTCCTCCTCATCTTCCTCCTCCTTCCACCTCCTCCTCCTCCTCCCTCCTCCTCCTCCTCCTCCCTCCTCTCCACCTCCTCCCCTCCTCCTCCTCCTCCTCCTCACCTCCTCCTCCTCCTCCTCCTCCTCCTCCTCCTCCTCCTCCTCCTCCCTTCCTCCCTCCTCACTCCTCCTCCTCCCTCCTCCCAACCTCCCTCCTCCCTCCTCCCTCCTCCCTCCTCCCCCCTCCTCCCTCCTCCTCCTCCTCCATCCTCCTCCTCCTCCTCCTCCTCCTCCTCCTCCTCCTCCTCCTCCTCCTCCTCCTCTCCTCCTCCCTCTCCTCTCCTCCCTCCTCCCTCCTCCCTCCTCCCTCCTCCCTCCTCCTCCCTCCTCCTCCCTCCTACCCTCCTCCCTCCTCCTCCTCCCTCCTCCCCTCCCTCTTCCTCCTCCCTCCCTCCTCCTCCTCCTCCTCCTCCTCTCGCTCCTCCTCCTCCTCCTCCTCCTCCTCCTCCTCCTCCTCCTCGCCTCCTCCTCCTCCTCCTCCTCCCTCCCTCCCCTCCCTCCTCCCTCTCCCCCTCCCTCCTCCTCTCCCTCCCTCCTCCCTCCTCCCTCCCTCCTCCCTCCTCCCTCCTCCTCCTCCCTCCTCCCACCTCCCCCTCCTCCCTCCTCCTCCTCCTCCTCCTCCTCCTCTCCTCCTCCTCCTCCTCCTCCTCCTCCTCCTCCTCCTCCCTCCTCCTCCTCCTCCCTCCTCCCTCCCTCCTCCCTCCCTCCCCCTCCCTCCTCCCTCCTCCCTCCTCCCTCCTCCCTCCTCCCCTCCTCCCTCCTCCCCTCTATCCCTCCTCCCTCCTCCCTCCTCCCTCCTCCTCCTCCCTCCCTCCCTCCCTCCCTCCCTCCCACCCTCCTCCTCCTCCTCTTCCCGCGCCCTCGGGCCACGAAGAGTTTACGACGGATAGTTCTCCTCCAGCGTCGGCTTCTCGCGGCCCCTGCCAGGCCGCTGGGCCGTGCACAAAACGGCTCAGGACGAAGAGCCGGTCCTGGGGAGCGGGTCCGAACCTCTCGGGGGTCGACGTTGTGATCAGGGGAACAGAAGGAGGCATAAACATGAAAACTCGGAGGTCCGCGCGGATTTCTTGGATCGGCGCTGGATCCTCCTCGCTGGCGCGCTCCGATGTTCTTTTATGTTTATGCCACTTGTTGTTCCCCTACTCTTGGGGGTCGACGTTTCGACGAGAGCATGACGTCGGGGGTCTGGGACCTCCTGGCGCATCCGCGGTGCAGCGCGATGAGGAGCCTGAGTTTGTCCTGCTGTCCCGTGGGTCGTTCAGCGCGCGCGCGCGCTTACCACGCAGCTTGCACAGTCAATCTGGGGCCCGTGGAGGGCGCCACGCAGAGGAACCGAACGGCGAGAAATAGCTTTGGGCCCGGTTCCTTCAGGGCCCGCTTCCCCCCAAGCTGACCTCGCCGTTGCCCCACCCACCGCCGCGCGCTCGATTTGGAGGGGCCCGATGTACACACCACGTCGCATGGGCAGCCCAGCAGCCAATGAACTCGGCGCAGGAGTTCGGTGCGCAGATGTTCCAGCGTCGCACTGGTTAGGATGTTGGGGTGTGCACGCGTCAGGTGCAGCGCTGGGCCAGGCTAGGCTCAGGGGGAATGCGTCGACCCCCTGCCGGCCAACACGGGACGGACTGGCCCCAGCCCGCCCAAAGGCGTGCGGATTCGGTATCGGGGCGCATCGCCGACTCATCGGCGATATAGCGTTGATTATGGTCGATGCCTCCCCCATTTTGGGCCGGCCCGCGACGTCGTATTTTCGTCCCTGGCGTGAGCTCCCAGGGGTTTGGGCCCGTTTCCAGGGAGCGGCTGTTCAGGTTGGTATTCTTCCCTTGGCGTTTCCGAAGGCTGGCAAAGCAGGCCCCCGGAAACCCAACCATAGCGAGACCAGTTTGTCGAAGGATTGCAAACAAACCCTTCGTTCAAGGGTTTTTTTGCAATCCTTCGTTCAAGGTTTGTTTTGCAATCCTTCGTTTTTTTGCAATCCTTCGTTCTGTGCTCGCGGCGCGGAGGCGCTCTGCTGACCGACGCGCGGGTCGATGTTCATCCCCTGGTCTTGGCCAGGGCGGCGCACGCACCGCCCCTGGGCCCAGCATGGGCTCCTCCTCCTCCTCGTCCTCCTCCTCCCCTCCTCCTCCTCCTCCTCCTCCTCCTCCTCCTCCTCCTCCTCCTCCTCCTCCTCCTCCTCCTCATCCCTCCCTCCCTCCTCCTCCTCCTCCTCCTCGCCGATCCGGAGGGCGTGCGAGTGCCGCCCAGCATGGGCCAGGCCTGGGGCAGCGGATGTGCACAGATCGCGTCGCTCTGCCGAGCGCGGCCCCTCAGCCCCTCGAGCTCCTCGGCCGACCAGACGACGTGGTTTTTGCTTACACGTCGCGCCCCTCCAGACGCTCGGAACGCCCGCCGCGCGGCCGGGCGGATGACCCACCGGCCCCCCTTGCCGGGGGCGAGGCCCCGCGTTTCGGGCCGTGGTGAGGGGCAACGCCACGGGATGGGCGCAGGGGGGGGGGCAGCAGTCGAGTTCGAGGTTCTACCGGCGTGTTCGAGATACCCTGCGCCTTCCCAGCCTCTGGATGCTCTTCAGTAGTTGCGCCTGGACGAGAGCGTTCCGGGGATGCCCGGATCGTCTGCCCGCCAAACTGGGTAGTCGAAGGCCAGACTGTCAGATTGGATTGGGCCCCAAGGGCCAATCTGGCCCGGCCAAGCTGGATGATTTGGGTTATTCGCCAGACTGGATTCGCGCTGGCTCCCTCGCCAGATGGCCCCCGTTTGCCAGATTGGGCCTGCCAGATTGGCGCCAGACTGGCTTCGACTGCCCAGGTAGCTGCGCCTGGACGAGAGCTTTCCGGGAATGCCCGGATCGCCTGCCCGCCAGACGCCCGATTCGGGGACGGGGTATAGGTTCAGGGGGGACGCGTCGACCCCCAGCCGCCCGTGGATCGCCGGCAAGGGCCCGATATCAGGAGGAAAAGAAACACACAGACACAACTGATCCTCGATTCCCCAGAAAATATGGGAAAATATGGGAAGTGGTTGGGAGGACAGGAGCCCAGAACATATGGGAAAATATGGGGAATCTGTTTATTTGTGTGTATTTAGTTGTGTGTCCTGGGGCCCCTTCACGATAGCCTGTCATGCCCATTAGCGTGCGGATTCGCTATCGGATGCCCAGCGCCGATCGACCGCCGACAGTTTAAATTGTACAGATATTCCTGATGCCGGAGAAAAGCCCCTTTATCATCATCTTGTTTAGGGATACTGGGTGGGCTATGGGCCTATAGGGCTTCAGGGCTATAAGGCTATAGGGCTATAGGGCTAGATTGCTATAGGGCTATAGGCCTAAAAGGCTACAGGGCTAAACTATGATACGGCTATTAGGGCTATAGGGCTATAGGGTTATAGGGCGATAGGGCTATAGGGCTATAGTGCTATAAGGCTATAAGGCTATAAGGCTATAGGGCTGTAGGGCTATAGGGCTACCGGGCACCCGGGCACCAGGCACCCGGGCACCTGGGCACCCGGGCACCCGGGCATTCGGGCACCCGGGCGTGCCGCCGAAATCGGTTCCAAGCTTCACTTAACCATATGAATCCGTTAGAACCCCTGCAGAGGCAAGCTCTGATTGGGCAACATATACATATATATATATATATATATATATACATACACATATATATATATATATATACACATTTATATATATATATATATATATATACAGGTCTCTCTCTCTCTTTCTTAAGGGTTTCGCCCTCTGCCGCCAGTCCCCCTAATACTAGTGCGTGCGGCTGGGTGGATGACGCCGTGGGTGCTTCTCGTGGCGGGCTTCTGGCAGCGCTTGCGGGTCATTGTTGGAGCTTCTTGGAAGCCTTGTTGGAGCCTCTTGGGGCCTATTTGGGTCTCTTGGAGGTCTCCTTGAGGCCTCTTGGGGGCCTCTTGGGGGCTTCTTTGGGGCCTCTTCTGACCTTCTTGGGGACTCCTAGTGCCCTCTCGGGGCGGAAAGGTCGCGTTTTCGGTTCGTGGCTTCCCTCTTGGGCCTCTCTTGGACCGTGTCTTGGGGCCCTCTTCGGCCTTCCTGGGGCCGTCTTTAGAAGAGTCGTTGATGTTTGCTTCGTGGGGCCCTCTGGAGAAGCCTCTTGGAGGCCTCTTGGGCCAGCTTGAAAGCATCTTGAGCGTCTTGGGGCCACCTGAGGCTTTCTTCCGAGCCTGTCCGGGCAATCTTGGAGGCCTCTCGGGCTGTTCTGACCGCGCGGCGGCGTTGGTTGGCAATCCTGTGGTGGCCCGGAGCAGCCTGGATTTGAGGTTTGGTTGTTTGGTGACGCGGCGGTGCCTCTTACCAGACAGTTAACAAGAGTCGGGAAACAGGACCGGAGAGACAAAATGCCAAACAACAAAAGATAGCACATAACACATGACAGCAGACCGCACACACTTTCGCAGGCTTGCGCCCCCGAAGGGGGCCAGCGGATATGTATATATGTATATATATATATATATATATATATATGTTCCCCCCTGGAACGGCCCTCGACGTATTTTTGTCCATGACGTGAGCCCCCAAGGGTCTGGAGCCTTTTCTAGGGACCAGCTTTTCAGTCTTGTCTGACGGCCCCGAAGCCCAGGAAAGGCCAGAAACTAAAATAGTAAACCGGTCCGTCGCGTTGTTCTCGCGACGCGAGGGCACACCGCCGATCTATCGGCGATGCATCGCCGAGCCCAGGTCGAAATCCCTTCCCCTCTGGCCAGGGAGGCGCTTCTCATCCTGAGTAGAATTCTGACGGTGCGGCCAGTAAGGACCCCCGGAATCCCAGCAATAGCAAGCATTAGTGTGTCATTTGTTGTGTTTCGCTACGTGAGGACACATTCACATCGCCGATTTATCGGCGATGGATCGCCGATTCCGTGTCGATGTCCCTCCCGCTGAGCCAGTGCCTTGATGGTT